CTTGTACACGATCTTTGACCCCCAGATCTGGCCTTTCTTCAGCAGCGTCATGTGTCTCCACGCTGGCTCGTTCGGGGCGTTGACATAGCGACTGGGCTCGACGCAGAACCCGGCGCCGGGTCCACGTGCAGGCGCTCCCTCCATCGCCGGCACATTGATATACTTACCCGTGTAGAACTGGAAAGCCGGCTCGGTGCTGTAGACCTCGAGGTGCAACTTCGTCGCCGGGTGGCTGAACGAGGCCAGCCGTTTCAGCGGCAGGGGGCGAGTGTCCAGCGGCACCTTGGACGGGTCCGTCTCGACCACAAAGCAGTGGTCGATATCGGGCTCCGGCACGCCCAGAACAAACGGCGACGTGACATTGGTCTTGACGAAGGATTCAATCGTACCATGCGGGATCTTCGTGCTGTCGACGGGCAGATACTGATCGGTGTATAGCTGCGCCTGAGTCCCTTCAATGGTTGGTCCGTCGGAAATGTTAAAGTAGCTATGCAGACTAGTCAGCTTCGGACACGATAAGATAAAAAAAAAGTCTGATCCATACCTATGGTTTGTGATGTTCACAGCCGTCTCTTCGACCTCGTCTCCCACCAACTCGACCTCGTACTCAACTTCTAGCACAGTCTTGCTGGCGTCCTCCTTGCTGGTCGTATACCAGACCCGGATCTCCACAGTGCCAGGATAGCCCTCCTCACCGTCATTGCTGAGATATTTGAACAGGACGGCTTCCTTGCCGTTGCGGTTGACAGGCTTGGGTCCGTCGAACACTCGCGCATCCCATCCTTGCTTCCCTCCATGCAACGAATTGGGCCCATTGTTCTGGGCCAGCGTGTAAGACTTGCCATTCACGTCCTTGAGAACGGCATCCTTCAAGCGATTGCAGACGCGACCGATGGTGGCGCCGAAATACGGCGAGTTGTACTTGACGTAGTCCTCCTGTGTGGGGAAGCCTTGCACGATGTTGTGGCCAGCCACGCGGAATTCCTGGATAATGGCGCCCAGGGGGAGGAAGGTAAAGGCAGATTCTTCCGTCGACATTTTCGCCAGGCTTTGCTGTCTTGTTTTATTGCAAGATTGTGCTGGTGTTGAAATGTATACGAAGCGATAATGCGGGGCTGAATGACCCCGCAGGTTGCGAATTGCAAGCAATTGCAGGCGTCTCAGCCGGATTCAACAAGACCAGGAGAAGGAAGAGAATGAAAAGAAGGAAGAGAGAATGCTGCAAGCAATATTCTCAATTCTCGCGGTTAATTCTGACGATTCCTTCCCATCTCTGTCGCGTCGCTGTCTTCTCGGGTTAATATTGTCATTTAGGCTAAAACGGTAACTACCCGTCACGTGGTTCCCAGCATCAGCAGAATTTATCGACAACGGCGATAACATTGTTATCCTCAAGCTCACAGGATGGTAGTAGGCATATTGCATTATTGATCGAATCAGAACAAATGTTGTGGTTCAATTTTTAAGCTGAATTGAAACGGGTATAGACCGGACCAATTGCAGAATAAGCATGGGCTTTATAAACTTACGGAATACTCCGTGATCAGGAGCATTGTTTCAGACGGCAATTCAAGTACAAGACAGACCGCAGCAATCCAGGAAGCTGAATCGAACGGTCTCGTGGAATTCAGTGTCACTCAACATCTTATCGCCCCTGATTTTGGTACAGTCAGATAATTTGGTCGCTGGTCGACAGGATCAGGTATATAATCCGTACATTACATGCATAAGTGCTAGTAATAATAATACCGGACGGGATTGTCGACATCCGAGGAGTCTCCGCGGGCCGCGCGGCCCAGCTTAGGCTACCCCGGACCAGGTATTCGAGATCTACATCCTCCAAATCAAGGGCTAGTATGACGAGAGCTGGTAAAACAGAAATGATATAGTCGTTTATTTGCTAGCAGCTAGCCATGGAACTAGCTAATTCTTGATGCAAGTCACCACAGGGCAGAAAGCTATCTACCGGTATCTAAGCGTGTTTTGTTACAATAATTACCGTTACGATACAACTGTACAGAGTATGATGTATGGATGGATATCCGCCCCTAGGTACCTAGCCTAGGTACACTCCATGCTGGCAGACAGGATCGATTGAATTCGGGGATGCGATTAGATTCAATATAATCAACAGTGAACTGATCTCCGATAATTGATTCAATCAAGAACGGAGTAATAATTAATAATTACGCCAGTCCAGCGAGGCCCTCAGGGTACGTAAGATAAGAATCATAGGCATTTTCAAGCCGACACCTAGTATTATTAAGAGCAAAAAGTTCATTATTAGTAATGGCACAGTCCTCCCTGCTGCTCTATTATTAATCACAGACCCCTGGCCACAGCCCTGAGTTAGCGGACAATTATTGCAAGCCGTGTTTATAAGCAACAATGACAACACATGGGTCCGGGCGCAAGGAGCCAACCAACCAGATAGATCGATACGGTTGGGGTAGTAGCTTAGGTACATGTATCTAGCCCGAAAAGATATTGATTGACAGTACGGAGTAGAAAGACATGGAATTCTTCTTATTGTGGAAACCTTCCAGAAGGCTGATCACTACTTCGTACTGTACGGTGCTTCCGCTGACTAAAGATTCCGCTGACATTAATAGGGCTACATTATGCACTCGGTACTCCACGTACTACAAGTACAGCAATTTAGTTAACTGGCCCTAATTTCGTAGAGAATGATAATAACAATAGACATGAAGTGAAAGCACACGTACTCTATCTAGACAATAATAAAATAACTCAATTAACAGCTGGTTAGGTAATACGTCGCTGTACGCAGACCGGTCCTCTCGCTACTCTTGGCAAATCTTCCCATTTTGGTAGCAACCTCCACACTCCACCCGGTGCATTCTGCCTGATTGGGTAATAGGTACCTTTGCCTAGGTACATAATCCCTGCAGAAAAGAAATTTTTTGGGACCTTGATGATGATTGTGTGAAATCAATCAACCTGCCTATCGATCTATCTCAGTTACGTAAGGGTGCTAAGTATGTACAGTACTGTACTTAGACTAACACACTAGAGAAGGAGAGAGATAGTGGCGAATTCTACACCACTGGTGACATCACCAACGTGCAATATGATAATCATTACTCCTGCTACGAGGGCAGGAAGATAATAGAGCATGATAAATGGAATGATTGTATTGCCTAGCTCTCAATCACAAGGTAAAAGACCTAATTATATGGAAATACTGAAGTAGGTAAAGATACTAGTACTATATCTACCTACCGAATAATAATAGCTAGCCACATACCCGTTTGGGTAGTACTACCTATTATGTAAGGAGATGTCTTATTGGTAGAGAACAAAGTAAAATCCTGTCCGTATTGGACGCATGTCTGACATCATATTAAGGGTGGAAAAGCCCACTATTGTTGATCTATTATTGATCTGACCGCACTGTAGTGGCCGAGTACAAGTGCCAAATGTGCAACCAGTAAGACATGATTTAATTAATTAACTCGTTGAGCCATTTTATTTATTTATCTAATCTCTTCGATCAATCGTTCGATTATTCATTCATATTCCATGTCGGACGGGTATACGGAATGTATGTATGTGATGGACGGACGACACTCGGAGACTTCTAAGCAAAAAAAAAAAACTCACACGGCCCGAAAACACAATCCCCAATATTCAATCACTCTAATCCCAAATGAGGTCAGATCCCCATATATAATATACCTAGGTAACTAGTCATGCTAGTCATGACTAATCGGGATCGGACTCGGAACCTTATGATGGCAGAAAAAAAGCCCACTCCCTAACCCTCCCGTCTTCAGACTTAATCCGTCCCGCACAATAGTATTATTTATCGTCCACTTGTTATGGAAGGGAAAAAAAAGGTTCAATGGTTCGTAACCTTGTCCCGACGAAAGTCGAGAATTGATTGGGTCGATGATGGGACAGTGGATGGATATTGGATAATGGATCGATGACGGATCCATTATTCTTCGCTTGCCCTGTCCAGCCTCCAGCCCTAGGTAGGTACCTTACCTAAGGTAGGTCTGAAGTGGAGACGTCACGACTGGACGAGGAGAGACGACGAGACGAGAAAAGAAAAGGGTAGATAGATATCACTACTATGTACTACTAACTTGTCCGCGGAACGGGAATGGACTCGGCATCATCGTCATCGTCATTATCGTCATGATTATTATCGTCATCATATCGAGACGTGTGCCTGGTTGACGAGTTTGCGAGGCTGGTTTAGAATGCATGCTGCCAATCAATTATCATTATTAATGATAATTACCCAATTAATTCAATTGAACCTGTTTCATTTTTTTTTCTTAGAATTCTAGTAAAATAAAATATTTTTCAACTAGCTAGCTACTATCTATGCTAGTGACGTCGATAGAGAGATCAAGAAAAAAAAAAGAAGTGTCTTATGTGATAATAATGATGGCGAGGAAAAAAAGACGTGCAAAAAATGAATGGTCGGGATTATTCGCCGATAGTAAAGTTTTTTTTTTGCTCTGATTTACCGCGGTAGATGTGTCTGTATCATGGATCTAGCCAAGCAACTACCTACCAAGGTAGGTACTCAACCCGTGGAACAGCAAAGATTACTAGATTACTGCTTCGGTCTCAAGGCTAGATGCGAAAGAATTATTCGTATTGATGCGGATACCAGATCGTAAGATGCGTGCAGAGCAGAGAGAAACAGACACTCCCACAGGAAAAAAAAGACAAAACACCAAATGTAACTAGGTGAAGCAAAATAATATCAGAAACGAATTCATACTCATGCCCCACCGATATAGGCCATGCCATACGGATTCTCCAAAACGCCCAAAGCACCCATGATCGTTCCTGTCAAAGAGTGCCCCGTAGACGACCAGGGTCTAAAACACCTCCCAAGTTGCGCTGTACAAGACAAGAAATTTTTTTCCCCCAAAGAAAGAAAAAGGAAAAAGAAAAAGAACATGTAGTAGTATACATGCATTACGTCGTGAAAGCAGGTGTCAAGTGACCGGAGAGAGAGAAAGATTAGATCGACGTGATCTCCGTGTTGGCATTAAGAAACTGGTTGAAATCGTCGTTGGGGTCGAAAAACCCCGTCGACGGTAGGCAGTTCATCGGCATCTGACGGTTGAACAGCGGCGACGAGTTGGTCTGGGTCTGGTCGTCAAACGACAGCGTCGTGTAGTCGGCCGTGTTCATCAGGTCCATCTCGTCGAACGGGCTGCTAAAGGTGTTCTGCGGCCATGGCTGCGGCCCTTGGAGCGCGACGGGGTCGACGACCCCTTGAACGGGCATGGCAGCCGAGTAGGCCGGGTTGCTGAGGGACGACATAGTGGTCGTGGGTTCCGTCTTGATCGACAGAGGCTGCCCGCGGGTCGACGGGCTGTAGTTGGGCGGCGTGGGAGGAAGCTGATGTCGCGCAACGGCGTCGGGGAATCTTGTCGTCGTCGACGAAGACGACGATGTCGTGTTGACGATGGGCGAGTGGGCGCTCTCTGAGCTGCCGTCTGACGACTCCTGGCGCTGCATGCATCCGGCATTCTGTTTCCACAGCTCCTGCTGCATCACCTCCGTGTTCTCTTCAAAGCGCTCTCCCTTGCTCTGATCCAAGCACCCCAGTCGGCTGAGCAGATCGTGCGTCAGCGGATGCCCGTTGGCCTCCGGCTTGAGCTTCTCCCCTGGCCAGCCCTCGCCGTCGCTGGCTCGTCGGTACAGTTCTTGCAGGCCATGGACCAGCCATGCTTGTTGCTGCTCGAGCATCTCCACGTATCTGTTGGGACGGTGGTATTAGAACGAATCTGTCTCTGAGCGGGAATGACTTTTCTTACCCTTTGGGGTAGACTTTGTCGTGGGCCTTCTTCCTCTCGCCGAAGACGCAGATGGCGTTGTCGGCGCGACATCGCCCACAGGGATTGGCACCGTCGCACTGGCGTTGGTCAGCTTTAACCCGCATTGAGGGTGTCGCAGAAACAGACCTTGGATTTCTTCAATCGACACCGGTCGCAAGCCTTGCATACCCTCTTGCGGACATTGCCGTCCGAATGGGACGAGTGTTCTGACGTGGGCGTCGACTGTCGGGCCGTCATTGTGTATTATGTTTGGGTGTAGAAACCCGAGGATGAAGCAGAAACGCTTTATTGTCTAGTTGTCAGTTTGTCGTCGATATACGATCGACTTGGCGGTATTTCGTTTCCCAGATTTATCAGTGCTGGTTGGCGAAGTGATAGAATAATAACCGCGTCGCGGAAGTATATAGTTGGAGTGTATCGTATCAATCACACGCTCGGCGGCAGTAACGATGGCATCAGAGGCCGGCAACAACGACGAAGGGAATAATAATCAGAGGATAATAATGATAGTAGCACTGGACGCATCCAATGTCAATAGCAGGTGCCACCCACGGTTACGAGGCGTTGGTCGAAGGTAGGCAGAGGAGGTCTGGAACTGCAGTACTGATCGCTGGGACGGGGGGGAGGCGGTTCTTTTGTACTAAAGTTATCGTTTACGCCAGCCATCTGTCAGCTACTGACCTAATAACTACTGCAGCGAACGTTCTACTCCATCCATGATCACGAGTTAATCGCGGTGGACCCCGGTCCATGTCGACGAAGGCCTCTTACAGCATACCGAACGAATACCGAGGGCTGGGCTGGCTCCAGGCCTCCAAGCTGACTGCGCTAGGACGGAGTAGTCCTAACGGAACTCGGAACGGCGAGGTATTTTTTTTCCCTTCTATGTTACTTACTGTACGAAGGCACATCCGTCCTGGCCACTGGCCCATCGGCGTTCGCTCGATCGGAGACTTCTTGGCCCTGCTCGGAGTCTGGAAATACGGAACGCCGTCCTCGTTTCTTCCGGTAATTTACTGCGGTCACAAACCGCCGTTTGTCATGACGGTAACACTCGACGCTCGACACGAGTCTGCAGTCAGCCAGTCCTCGCCCATCGATCGTGCGCTGCGATCATGGCACAGCATCGATAAATCGCGTCCTCAGTGCCACTACAGCCTCGCTGCCAGACATCCAGCGCGCTGTCCTGGCTGGGCCATCCCAGGCGGTGCGTGGCCGGAGAAAACGCCTTATCTCCGGCGTCGCGCAATGGAGCATCTCCAAGCAGAACCGCATCGAGCTGCCATGATTTTTTTCCTCGAAGCGATCATCTCGTCCAGAAGAGTATCACTCATCAATAATCGCTTACTCATGAGTCATGACGAGGACGCGACAGTGGGATGGTTCTGACCAGCCCCCGCCGTTATCAACCTGCTAGCCCAGTAATGGAATGCGAATATCGACGTCTCGACGACACAGAACCTCAGGGATCTGCCCAATGCTGTGGACCGCCAGGGGCTGGGAATACTTCTCCATACTTTTTTTTCTTTGTCCGTCGCCGAGAACGAGGATGCAGTCGACCCCAGAAGTTACACCAATCCACACGACACACTCATGACGTCGCCGATTGATTGATGGATTGTTCCTGGGGCCGACAGATCGTACCGAGGACGAAACAGGCGTACGATACAGCGCCGGAACCATGGCCGCCCTGAGCGGGTGATCGTCTCGTAAGAATGGATCGGACGAAAACTCCGAGCGTCGATGCACAAGCACAAACATGCATAACCCATTACCTAACCCACTAATGCAGCTGGCTTCTGGCCCAGCTCCGTATGGTGACTACAAAAGGAAACGCTGGGGCACCAGAAAGATGATGACTTCAGCAAGTGATATTACCCTTTTCGTCTTGCTGATTCCGGTGGCCAGCCTCTGCTTATTCATCGTCGTCTGCATGGTTGCTAAGAATCACTAATCGCGACGCAGTAATACCATGACGGCTGCGTCTCGATCCTGACAGGTCCATCGATCTGTTATCGCTGCTTGAACGGGAAATTAGAGCTCCAGTCGTCAATGACGTGGACATCGAGGCAGAATTCGTTGCATTATCGATATACGAAGACCTCCATGTTTCCCATCTTGGCAGTGACCTGACGCCATCGGATATAGCCTGTTGCATCGGGACATCCATCGTGGCTAACCTTAAGCTTGTTCCCTTTTTTTTCCCTACAAGATGAACGGTATTTTTTCTTTTTAATTCGAGTTGTGAGATTCTTGACACGCCTTCTCCACGGTTTGGGTGGGGCTGGACGAAAGCGTCAGAGATCTCTCGATTGAGTTACATTCCACGACCTATTCAACCACAACTGCGGAAATCCCCCGAATGCAACGATCTATCTATTTGAGCTGGCTGTCATCACGTCACAACTCTTCACCAGGTTGATTGAACGACTACGATTTCCAGATTCTATCTGTCCCAGTCGCCGAATGAGATGACTGTAGATGCAGGACGTGATACTTGCAGACGTTGCAGCGATCGCAGCAAGATGGCCAATAGATGACGTTCTCTGCTGGCGCATGTACAGTCATCACTCATCTTTCACCAGTATCGAGCTGGTGCAATTATTGACAGTGCCGCTTGCAGATTCAAGTCGATATCTCATCCTGGAGATAATGACTACCTAGTGATTTTGACCTGTATCAAGGCTTGCGGGTATAGACCTTAGGGCCATGTCTGTATTCTGGCATAATCATCAATTGTTAGTTGAATGCGACCTCTCTCAGACCAGAATGGACTCATTATCTATTCGTTGGGCCTCTGTCGTGAGTCGAATTGCGGAAATATGAACAGATGGTACTGTCCATACAGTTTTTGGCCACATCTACTACTTGAACACTTCTGCTCACTCAACAAAACGTACCGAAAATGATCACTAACAGAAAATGATTACTAATTGATCCATCCATCCATCCATCCATCCATCAATGCTTGACCCTGCAGGATACAAGTACATACCTTTGTTGCAAAGTTACTGATATAGTGTGGACCACTATCTAATTAATTAAGCAAGAGAGATACAACAGTTGGATTAACTACTCTCTAATGTCACTAATATCAATCCTTTTCTTTTTCCCCTTCCCATCCTTATCCATTTCTGTCATTGTAAATATTACTTACTACACGGCTGCTGTCTTAAGATCGGGACATGTGTATAATAATAATATAGGCAGTATAAGTTGTTTCGTCTTGCCTGCCTACCTACCTACCTACCTACCTACCTAGGTAAACAAGCAAATAATTGACCACATAACCAAACCGCATCAAGCAGGTATTATTGCGAGTGATTTGTATTTTATTATGATCTGAAAGTAGGACCTGATGTACTGTACAGTACATGTACATACATACAATACTTAGACCTGAATCAGCCGCTCAGGCCTCTTTCAACTGCCTCTCTTGTCTATTATTGCATGAGGATGAGGCGAATACCAGGCTAGTTGACTGCCTGGCTAACTACCTAGCTAGCTACCTATGTAGTAGACAGCTTGCTAGCTTCCTCCATCCGTCCATCGATTCGTTGATTGTTTGTTGGTTGGTTGGTTGTTGGTTGGCTGGCTGGTTGCCTAACATTGACACTCATCTCTGAATCAATTGGTTCACGCACGAATCGAGTCGCCATTCGATCGAGAGTCGAAAATGGATATGATTCATAGAAAAAAGAACTTCTCAGCCCATCTCAGCCGTTGGAATCATGATCATGTTGACAGTGTCAACTGATAAGAATATCGAGCATGCATGGCGCTCCAGCTCAGTCTATCATGTCAGCAAGACAGTGAGCGTCCGACTTGAGTCTGCTGGACGTCAAGAAATCTGCGATGGGAATTTTCCATCAGGTAGCTATGCCAGCATCAACATAAGGAAAACACATGCCGTGCGCGGTACGCCATCCAAATCCAACGCTGCCTGTCTGTCCATTTGTATGTGTTTGTTTGTGTGAAATTCGCCGCATCATCGTCGGTCGACACAACAGATCATTCGATTATCGAAACTGAGAAGGCTGGATTGGCCGTATCGCAGTCGTCTATATCCTTTCACTTCTACCCGCGTCCGGACATGTAATATAATTGTTCCCATCACTGGGTCCCCGCGCCATCTTCCTTCTTGGTCTTCGGACCGCACTTGTTCGCCTCACTTCTGTCTACCGTGCCGATCAGCCGGGCCTGCTCGTCGCAGTACTGCGCCATGTAGATGTCCTTGTCCGTGAGACCGCGGGGGTGGTGCGTCGTCCAGTGGACTTGGACAGAGCCAGCTTTCTATTGATTGTCAGTGAGCGTTGTTGACGAGAATGAGCGAGAGAGAGAGGTCTAAATGGACCCGATTTTATGTCTTCTTGGCGAAACGAAACGATGGACTTACGATCGTCATGGTCGAGTGATGGTTCTTGGACTTGCTGCGGATGCCTATGATCTGGGCGAAGTCCTGTAGGAAGGGCGAATCGTCAGCTAGGACATCCACGAGTCCTCTGTCAGTGAAATTGCTCGTGTGGCCGGTATACTAACCAGACACTTTGTGTAGGTCTTGAAGTAGAACGTCTTGGTCACGCCCATGCGCTCTTCGTCCAGCGTCCACTGCCCCTCCTCGAGCAGAGCCTGCGTCTGCGGAAGGAATTGGTCCTGATCGACTCCGGCAGCGAAGATGGGCTCCTTTGCGTCAGCCTCGGCGAATGCGGTCGTCATCTTCGGCGTGTTTGAGAGGAATCTTGTGTTGGACGTTGGGATTGCGGCACGACGAGCTGGAGACAGAAAGATGGGGATGGATCGGGAATTTTGTCGCAGGCCTCGGAGCGTCAGCGCTGCTGTTGAAGCTGCAGCTGCAGCTGCCATGATACGGTTGTGGCAGTTATTTGACGGTGAGCAAGAAATAGACACTCGGGTTGGGAGAGCTGCTGTACCGGTGGCTAAGTGTCTTTGCAGGTGATCCCGTGATGGGGAGCTTCCGCAGCGCGATTCTTACTCTTACCGAACAGAGCTAAGAGCTTCTTTCTTACACACCGTTACTCTGGTTCTTAGGTAGATTGTTTACATGCTATCTCTCTCCATTCAACCCATTGAAAAAAAAAACGCTAATCATATCGCAGGCTAAAGATAGCATCGCACTTAAATGGCGTGTCTACAGCTGAAAAGCACTGCAGAGGCGGTGACAATGGTCCATTTGCTGGACTCGAAAGAGCGGCTCTAAGGGACTAAATTGGCTGGATCCATGCTGCTGACCAGTCATCGTCTCGATTGTCTCCCCAGCGCTGTGCCGAAACTGCACTTGCAGGGCTGAGCTGTCCTTACTGCGCCACAAAACCAACGAATCACGGCCAATTTTTGTTGTTGTATCGAGTATTTGACAGTCAATTCAGCCGAGCAAATACGCTGGTCAGGTTTCTTATCAACGCCGGTCGAACTAGCGCGATCGGGCTCTCGTCGTTGAAAATAATTAATCGATCCAGTTATCCATGATGTTTGCCTTGCTCCGAATAAGAATTTTGCTTGCTGCTTGCCATCTGTAAGGACTGCATCAACCATAATTCCTTGTTTATCTCTCTATCCTTGTTGGTCCTGTTTGTATAACTGTCACAGGGATGCAATGCCTGATAATTGTGCTTGCGATCGCCAGTCTAATCAGCCTGGGAGGAGGTAAAGCCACCTAGGCCTACGTGCCTGTATTTTGTTGCGCTTCGCACCTTTTTCAACGTCTGACTCGAACTCCTCTTCTAGGATTGCAGGTGACTTCTCCCAAGGCAGGCGACGTGATTGATGCCTCCCAATCCTTCAAGATCACCTGGACTTCTGGCGCAAATGACCCCAGCGCCATTTCCATCTACATTGGGCAGAATAGCACCCAGTTCATTCGGGAATTGGCCATCAACGTCTCCGTTTCGGCCGGTTCCTACGTTGTCCCGCCGATCCAAGGGCTCGTTCCCGATGGCACCGGTTATACGATCATGCTCGACCCGGTGAGTGGCGGTGATGAAGGGGCTTCCTCTGGTGAAATTACTCTCATACACTCGGCTTCAAGTGGAACGTCGGTTCCCACTGCTACGACCACAGTCACGGCTGTCAGCTCTGCGAGTCCAACCACGACTTCATCTTCATCTGCACCTTCGGATACGGCAACGGCATCAACGACACAAACATCACCTTCCTCCAGCTCAAACCGGAAAAAGACTTCTCATCGCCTGTCATCAGCACGTAAGGCTGGGATAGGCATTGGAGTCGCTGCTGCTGTTATCTTGCTCGCCATTGTTGCTTTTCTGCTATTCCGCCGCCGTAAGCAGACGCGTGAAGCTGCCGGCGACGGTGAAAACGTGCCACCAGTGGCCGAAAAAGCATCTGAGCCAACAACTGAGGGAAAGGAGGAAGACAAACCTGAGCTTCCTGGAAACCACGAATGGCCACGCGCAGAACTGCCGACGGCGCGGGAGACAGCGGAACTATCTACAGAGCGAGAAGCACACGAATTACCGGCTTGAATTCGAAACTATGGGAAACGATTCGGATGATGAAACCAGCCGTTCCGAGAGGAAGAGAAAGGGATATAATTGACACAGTCACGTTTACGATGTCGATAGTACGCACTTATAAAACGAAGTAATCCTAATTTCTTTCGACAGACTATAGTCTGATAACAGACAAAGTTGCAGTATTTGTATATACATACATACTAGGTATATACATCCATACATAATTGCATGCCATGTCTCGAGTGGAGACTTGCCAAGGAGAAACAAAAAGATGCCTTGATTTATTCGTGCCAAAACCTGGAAAAAGGCACATTTTTTTTTACACTCTTTAGTATCACCTCGACTTACAACATTCGAAAGAAAGGCGCAGGTTGTGACCGCACCTCCCCAGCTCTCCTTCGCATCTGCGATATAATGGCAACTATGCAACTGATGTCACAGCCATTGCTTGTGATGTTCATTGGCATACGGAACAGGCTGTTGGAGATGTGGGGTCAAAACGGCAGAATGGAACTCGATAGCATAGATGTCCATCTAGATGAATACAAAAGAAACGAAAATGTTAGATTAGAATCTTTGAAAATAAATACGATACCAGTAGGCAAACGTGAATTTCGCTTAATATCTCCAGAATGTCTTTCTTCAGTTTTGATGGTGGCATTGTCAGACGTAGTGTTGTTGTCTTTAAAATGAAATGACGACCAATGATCTCCTGTTCGAGCCAATCCAAATCCATAGAAAGAATGATCATCGAAGGCTCGTTCTTGACTCCCTTCAACTCCTTCTTTGACTAGTGCCTCACTGCTCATGGTCATTTGCTGCTTTCCTATCACCCGACAGCGCAGACAGGCCTGCGTCAGGGACAATATCAATCAGGTCGTAACCTTCCCTCCTAGGTGAGGTTGAGGTGAGGGCGCTCTGTCTTGCCTGTGTGCTACCTCTGCTCGAAAGCGATATAGTTCAAGAGCTAACTGGCTGGTAAATCCTGTCTCTGGATTGGTTTGGCTTGGCTTGACTTGCGTGATACACAAGAACCTGTATAACCCGAATTATATTGTAGCGTATTTCAAACTTCCACAGTGGTAATGAGAATCATGCGGAAGAGGAATCCAACGAGACTCGGTTTTCGAACGTTGCTGTCGAGAGTGTAACTCCAGCCTTGATTATATTGCCACGTACTGATGGCACCTTTTGCTATTGCGGACGTTTGCTCTGGACGGCATGGACTGGATCATATTTCGGCTTTTCAACATTCCGATACTATCTGGATGGGTCTCGCCGAGATAGGTTCGTGTTCGTCTTGGTTCGGTTCGACGCAGCTGTGTCTGATTCTGAAGGGAGGAAGGTATTTGTGTAGCTCCGGCGATGTCCTGACAATGTCACAGGCTTCGTCCCATCTTTCGTCAAGTCCGTAGTTTTTTTTTCTTTTCCTGCACCAGCCTATGGCGATTTCTGCGCTCAGGCCAGATAACTCTCAGCAAAGCCAACTGGGTTTCAGTAATATCTGAACCCGAACCCATCTCATTCAGGTCATGGATGCTGTTCAATTTTGTCCTTTTTATAAGTAGGGCCAATTCATCTTTGTCCTCGGGAATTGTAAAGTCGCCAACTCTCCACTGGGGCGTGACGTGGTGTATACTGGACGGAGAACCGGCACAAGACCCCTGACCTTGACGATCAGGCCACTATCGTTGTTGCTTAAGGTCTGGGAGGCAGTCCTCCACGGTCTGAATGCGGGCCAGACTGTTGACCGTTTTTCTTCAGATAAGAAGAATTCTGAGTCTGTCGAGATTGAAATGTCGACACGCACGTAGGCCGACTTCAGTTGAGGAAGCAGAGGAAACTGCAAATCGTTTGTGAGCTGGGATATGTTGAACGTGTCGTCAAGAGGCACTGTACTTGTAAACTCTGACAAGACGGGTCTGCAGAGACTAAGTAGGGTATCAGCGGCCATTCGGGAAGAGGTGCCGGGTCGTGTCCTGGCTCTGGCGAGATTTCGAGTCGAAAGATCAGGCATTTTCAGGCTGCTTTCCACAAGCGCATCTTCCACTGGGGCTGGATGCGGACCACTTGGCAGTGGAAAGGACATTTTGATGGCAGTGGTGATAGAGACACGCCTAACTCAGTTCATGTAAGCTGAATGCGACAAATATTGCAGTCGCCACCACACGCAGTACACGGCATTTTGCTGCTCTTCAAGGGCAAGGGCTAACGTATGAGGTTGGAAGAGAAAGAAGAAAATCTCAGCAGAGCGCACAAGGGAGATGTTTTATAAGAATATGCTGATCTTCCATCTGATGTAGATGAGCGAAGGATCTCTGACCTCGATCGCCCTAGGAAACAGTACGACAGCATCTGTCAATGGAGAAGAGCCTCGGAGTCTGGAACGGCAGATCGAAACTGATCAGGAGCAGTGTGCTTATCAGCGTCGTTTCGTAAACAACTCCAGCGAAGCAGTGAATGCGATGGGATCTGATAACAGTGAATGTACGAGATTCCCGCCAGAATGTTTGTTGGAAATCTCCCCGGTCCACCGCCCAATACTGAGAAATGGGGAGGATTATTCACTGAGACAAAAGATATCTTCCGCATAATCAATGACGAATTCTGTATATATTGTTGTCGACAGGAAGAGTCCAAGGAGATCAGCTTCGTCACCTGAACAACAAGTCGATTCAAGAATGAAAAGATTTCATCAGCGATGACTGAGCGTCTTGGATAGCTGTCAGCTATCGGTGTCAGCAGCAGCGCCATGAAGCTTTTGTCAATTCCACTTGGTCCGATAATGGATGTGTAGGGCGCGAGGTAGCCACGGAGCCATATTCATATATATAGTCGTTGAAGTATTCCACTGTCTGCTCGTAGACCCTTTTACGATGTCTCGTCTCCTCCTTTTGGCAGAAGGCATGTATAATAGGCATTGTGTCGCCTATTTGCGATGGACGATGAAGTATTGCAATTCCAAAGAACCTGTGCAGGGCTCGTTATTCCAGAATTCAGAAGGTGACTCTTTTGGAATTACATGCAGGCGATGACCAGCTGTCAGCGTTGGTCGACGCTCGGGTCGCGCCACCACCCTCCTTCAGACTCCGTTTTGCCAGCTGGTGAACAAGCCTGGGCCCGTACGCCTTGAAATCGCTGAGAACGGGCTATGGACAACCCTAACTAAAGTGAACCCAACGATCAGCTCGGGCTGAATACAGCTGGCGGACTCGGACTCACAAAATTGGGGCTAGTGGTCTAGGTGGTATGATTGCTGTTTTGGGTTCACATCCGAGAGTTGTCTTCGGATGTCCGTATACAGCAGGTCCCGCGTGCTGGCCCCTGGCAGAACTTTTTTGCCCTTTGAAACGGCGTCCCAAGCACTTGGGACTTGCCTGAGCGTTCTAACAGGTATACTGATTCCCAAGTCGATACCGAAGATGCAGTCGCCAGAGGACGGGAATCGATTCAAGAAATTCGTTGATCGACGTGGGTGACAAGGTCATATTTGGCGAGGTCTAGTAGACCTCTCAGATTATATTTTGGATCATGCTGAAGATCTCCACAAGGTATTGGGTTGTGTGATTTGGACGCTGATTGCATGTTAGTGTTCAACTTGACATGCGTCGAGGAAAAGGGCTCACGTCTGGATGGAGATCTAGGGTTGCAAAAGAAGCGAAGACCTTTGATACACGCCATGGATGACGTGTGGAGAGATTGTGTAGCAAAGCTGAATTGGATGCTAGTCGTTCAGATCATCTGGTAAGGTAAATGCCGCCTGTCAATGCAGTTTGCTGAGCAATGCCTTCGTAACGATGTAATAATGGAGTATATCCTGGTCGTGCCTTTAATTGACCAAATATGATATAACACGGTTCACTATATTGGACGACGAAGAGTTGGGCGGATGTATAAAATCTTCTTTGGTTTTGGTCAACCAGTGCTTTCCGTTTCTCTGAAGACTTCCTCGATGCGATTGAATCGCTGCTTGCAGTAGCGGAGTTGTGCAACAAATTTAAGCCGTGTGGAAGCCAGAATCCAAAATGGCTCTCGGAGGGCTCGACACTGCCATGTGGCCGTACTGAACCTTCGCGGTCATGCATACTTTTGCTGATGACTGAGTTTGGATGTTCCTGAATCGCACTCGCCAAGGAACCCGCAAACACAGATTGTCTTGAAAAGATTATCGAGATCGGCACGACTTCGCACTATCGTTGTTAAGCAAACTAGGGGACAGAGGCATGAATTCCCAGTGATCTCCTTCAGTGAGTGAAGGATTCACAGGGGAATCGTGAGGCCAAGGGACGGCCCATTTTCCGGAGAAGACATACGTATTCCAAAGGACGATGGAATCGCATCTTCCATTCAGAATTCGGAGTATTTGAAAGGCTTTGGATCGCATGGATGTTCTCTTCGGACCGGGTACTCGTATAGAGAACAGTGCAGAAGTACCGGAGTAGTGGAGACATCAACAAAAGCTCTCTCGCGCAAACTCCTACCATCCTCCAAAACAGGCCACTACGACTCAAACGAGACCAGTAGTGGTGAGGATGATCAGAACATTGTGAACCTTGTCGGGCAGTTCGCCAAGATTGGCTTGCTATATATATCACCGAAATAAGAAACAACAGTTATGAAGAAGTTGAGAAGACGAGAAGATACAGGGTGAGCCTCTGGCTTCATATAGGCGAAAGAGGTCCGTTTGCTTGCTGTTCGTTTCTTTGTTTGCCGGTGCGCTTGGGCCAGGATTGCTGGGCACACTGGAAGCCTGCCCAGCAACCGTGAAAGAGAAAAAAAATTAGAAGAAGAATGGTGGATGGTTTCGATTCTGTGTCTCATGATGGTGTATGAAGAGGTCGAGGACCGTCATGAGCGCATTCGTTGGCGAAATACCAACAAGAAGGATCATAGCGCTCGGAGAAGAAGGTACTGCTTTTATCTCAGTTTCGATCCTGATTTCATGTCTTCGAAGCTGTGAATTGGCCCGCAAGAAATGTCAGGAAGTCATCCACTTTGCCAGGAGTATCAAGTATCTTCACCACTGCAGACAGAAACGATGTGTTAGCATACGCGTACCTACCACCATAGAGGGGACAGCGTGAAGATTATACTCTCTGTCAGACATTAAAGCAGATACAAACCCTTCCTCGGACACCAACGGCCATAGAGATCTGCGAAAAGAAACAGGGAAGAAGAAAAAGCGATCACAACTTCTGCCGCGACCCCTCCGTTCCCAGACAAGTGAACAACTGCTCACTCGCGCTGCAACGAACAACTCACGTGCCCCCTATACAAGCAGTTGAAAGGCGGGTTTTCTTGGCGGGGGTGTTGAAACTTCATTGCGGTACGACAGAAGGGCAAGAGACTGTGTTGCACCTCCTCAGCATGTCGCCTAACGTCAACCAGCTTGCGTTTTTCCGATGACCACCAGAGTGGACGGACTTGTAGCAGGTAATTCCCATCCAGTCTGCCACCGGATAGTCGACTCGGACATCAGGTTCTTCTTCCATGCCGCACAACGATTCTGGCAAGCACATGGGGGGCACGGGGATCAACACTAATGCTGCCACTGTTTTCCCAATTTCGTCAAGATGGATAAAACTGCCACTCTTCGTTGTCCTCCGCGTAAGTGTTCTGAGTCTTTTGGCTTGAGTGGGCAGAGGCTGACGCGTGGGAGAATGCGATTTCCCATCTTTGCGGAGCATAGCACTTGCCACCGACTAATAGAGGATACTATGACGGCGAAGAGCAGGTTGATTTGGAGCCTGCACTTCCTTGGGATCCACTAGACTGTAGAAATTTCCCTCAAGTTTGAATCCTAAGGCAGGGAAGTGTTCAGGATGATTTCAGCGCCTCTGTACATATGTTTAGGATAAGAGTCTGCGTATATAGGATGTAGGTATATAAGAAAGGTTGGTATAGGATGGATGAAAGGAAGAAAAAAAATTCAGAGAGCAGTAGGGGCGGGGGAAAGAAGGGATATTTATATTTATTAACCGGACTTTGCCTCCTTCATTTACTTGCTTCGCTTCCTATGCGAGGCCCCAGAAGGAATGGATCATTCACCTGCATAGGAATATTTATAGCTCTTTATCCACAGGCACAGCAGATGAGCGAATATTTTGGCGAGCTTGATAGTGACTGCAACCAGGACTACCTGCGTAGTAGTGATTGTCGAGAAACGGTGAAGACAAGATATTCTAACTGACATAGAACTAGAATTCCTAGTTTGATTAGATTAAAGATGATAGTTGGAGAAGACCAGAATCATGAGAGTCTAGGCGAACTTAAGCGAACTCCTGAAATGGTGGGCATGATTCCATCCTTTTTAAAGAGTTGTCTCGGATAGCTACCTGCTTTACGGTAGATTGCTTTGTTCGTAGAATCTGACAGCGACCATTGCATTGAACGAGACGAGCCAGAATGGCGAAATGGAGGAACTATGCAAGGGAATGCGCAAAGAGAGGATATTACTTTTTAAAAAAACTAGGAACGATTCATAGCAGGCAGTAGCATCTGGTCTACTCCCGATTACTGACCACTTTACTGTATACAAGGCAATAGGAATGATATATTGATAAGTTATTAATAATGCCCAAACCTGTATAACGTTCTGTTTCATCTTAATCAGGGAAACCATAGCAACGAGATGAAAATGACAAGAAAACGGCAAGCAATGTCATGCTCTTCCCGCTGGTAGTCTTCATTGTCCAATCATAATTGCTGGTCTTCGAACATTTCCAGAGTGTCAGCGCTAAGATAATGCAAATCATCGGGGTCTCCATTTGCAATAGCCGTTCTCCATAGCCTAGGATGATCTCTTCTTCAAGAAAGTCAACATTATTATGAAAGTGTCTTGAGTTGGCAGGTACTCGACCACGGCACTGAGACAATCTCGTGCAGATTGAGTCTGCTATAACTGTCTGAAAAATGCCGAGATCGCTTCTGGTTGCGCGTCCAGCAGCATCCCGAAGCTTGTTATCGGCCTCACTGTCGGCCATGTATGCAAAGATAGCACAAGCTTGACCTGTCAGCGTTGTCTGTTGATTGTGACAAGGAGGACTTCGTCGTCATTGTGCCTTTGGAACTGTAAGAGCGTTCGCGTTCCTGTTCTTGCCCTTTGTCGATCGCTTTCTCACAGAGCTCGAGAAGCTCTGCCGTTTTACCTGGTTCTGCTCTCTTGCTGATATCATGCTTAATTGCAGTCACCCACATAGGGAGTTCATTTGGATTCCTCGATCCGGTAAAGATCGTTGCTCCATATCTGATATTGCTGTAGGAGGCAAGCATACTTTCGAATCTGGCGTGTGCTGGAGGGTGCTCACGGCGAAGGTTCTCCTGCCGTTCCTCGTCTGCACGGGAAAAAGGTCATAGTTAGAAAAATAACAGAAAATAAAAACCGACATCGGCTTTGAGATACTCAATGAAGCTTGGCTGTGTCTTTCCACCGTACGGTTGAAAAAGGGGATACTCACATCTCTCGATTATCCGAGGAAGTGCGCACCAGCTGTAATTTGATCGCAACATTTTGTCTGAAATGCTTTGTTCAGAGCTTCGATTGCGTCTCTCTGTTCATTCTTAATGGCAAGTACCATCTGCCAGAGACGCTCTGGGTCCTTCGACAGTAGGCAAGAAATTCATTACATCCCACTTATAACGACATATCGTAAATACCCGGACGGAAGCTCTTCAGCGAGAGAATACAGGACGCCGTAAAGTTCACTCTGCAAGACAAAATCGCGAGGGCATGTGCTAAGCTTCTATTCAGCCCGTCGAGAGAGTTTAGCACATCCGGTATACAACTGAACAGATTCAGCACTCAGCAGGGAACAAGGCAAAGCCTTTGTCCAAAAGAAACCGGGTCTGTCTGAGAGACCCACAGTATACAACTTGCTAGGAGAATCGATGGAATTGCAAGCTCTTAAGGGTGGGAATTCGAGTCTGATGAGGTGTGTAGATAGATTTCTTGAGACGTAAATGCAATGGAAATCGGGACAAGCAAGCCTGATGGGTAGAGAAAAGACAGACACGTCCCGTCTGGTACGAAGCTGGGCCGTCGTGTCCGGCAATCGTCGTCGATGAAAAATCTCGAGATCAAAGCTGGCATTGCGTGAAACTTCAACTGTTTGTAATAGGTTTCTATTCTAGGAAGTCGGACGAGGAATTGGAAGCGGTCTCAAAGTAAAGGGCTGCCGCTGCGACCTGTCTTAGCTCTCTATCATTGAAGTCGCCGTTATTGCTCAAGTGGACATGTGTACGGACTCCGGATTCTGAGTGACATGTACCCAGGCAATACATTTCAAGATCAGCTTCATAAAAAACCATCCAATCATCTGTGCTGTTTCCTGCATCCGTATTTGTGGCGGCTGTCATCTTATTTCCCAGCCTACACCTCGATGACTCCTTGGACTTTGTTGCCTTGATGGAAGAGGTGATACCCGTCCGTTCGGGCTTGTATGTATGTACATACTTCCCCTTACAAAACTCCGGCTTGGGTGCGACAAGTGGTGTATCCAATGGCTTCTCACCCTTGAAGCCAGCCTTCAGTTCATTTCCAAGAACTGATGTCTGATTTCTCTGAATCGACAACAAAATTCTGATAGCCGCGCCACGCCCCAGTCGTCAGATAGGCCAAGTAAGACAGGTCACAGGACGTAAATGGACAGAGCTAATTGTTGCCAGAAGAGGGGAAATTTCGATAATCCCTTAAGACTCTGAATCCTTCTGCTGAGCCCCTTTCTTCAAGGCCCTACCAGCCACTGAAGCACCCTCAATGCTATTTCAGGATAACATGAATGGATGATAAGCGCGTGGTTCCTTGTGTGAGAGAAAAGCGCAAGTATTCCTTGAATTCTTTCATGCCATTCGACATGGCCCCGCTCGTCCATACTCAGGTACTAGATTGTACTGACCAGGCTGGCTCCTCGCCAGAGAGCAAGAAAGAGGTCCTTGCAGGATTTGTTAAGGTAGCCTGATCGCGCGTTGATGGGTCTCTCAAGAATGGCGTTCGTATCGTTCACAACTTTACCATTTGAGCAGACTCTTGCATATGAATGTATATTTGCTGGTCAGATTTCCTTTATTGAGTGATTTCAGTGCAACTGGCATGTGGGCAACAGTGCACGTGTTTTCGATAAATGGGAACCCCAGCCACGACGTGTACAGTACCTCTCGAATCGCCGGTTTCAGTTTCCAGACGTTTACCTCGACAATTGCTTGGAGTTTGCTCCTGCACCTCTGTGTTAACGCATGCAAGAAGCTTAGACAATGTTGACGCCGACCCATCGGAGGTTGGGGTTGAAGATTTTGTGGTTGGCTTTTCCAATGGCGATATTCCAGGTCACCAATCAGTATGACTTCTGTCAGCTCAATGGTTTCCGACGCTGAGTAACCGTAGTTAGTGAGATCGCCAATCAATCGATAATATTCAATTGGAAACGAATATCCGGAGACAAGGTGATGGTGACGGAGAATCTTGTTTGGCCAACGCGCTCCGCTCCTACATGCAGATAACCACGAAGTCGACTGGAGAGCATCATCGTTTCTGAGGAAGTGCGCCTTGTCGAGAATGGTAACTCGGCGTTTGCTGTCCTTGCTCTTGCTGTCTAGCTGCAAGGCGAGCGAGCTTGGCCTCTTAGCTTCCTTGCTCTGCCATATAGTGGCGTGTCAGGCGTCTTCGTTCGATATTTCCATATGGCAGGAATAGCATCAAGGGCACTTAGGTTTGAGCCATCAGGCTCTTTTTGAGAGACCACTTGGAACGAGGGCTTTTCGAACAGACGTCGTGAATAACCATAGCCGGAGTTAGACCAATGTCCTGGTGACAATCATGACCTTCTTTCCATCGTCGATGGGCTGCACTTCTCATAGAACTTAGCTCTCAAGTCCAGCGAGTGATCTGGAATGGACACCAGCAACATACTGGCCATCGCGTCCTAGAAGTATTTTCCTAATTTCATTTCGAGAAAAGCACTTATTTTGTCCAAGCCTGAACCAAGTCCAGGAGGCGCCTAATATATGGCCGTCATGACATGGCTAGCGTGTAGGGCATTTGGAAAGAGGACCAACAGAGAGATATGTATCAGGCCAAATAACAGAAGATATGGAAAGATAAAAAAAATAATATATACCTCGGATGCATATTAATTTGGCGAACTTATATAAGAAGTCTATAGCAGGAGATGGGAGAGAAGCAAAGAGAAAGCCCAGTCAGGAGGGAGAACGAGAAGGAGGTATTTATAGCCAGGGCTGCAGGCTCGCTTACAGACATGACCCTAGGTAGCTACATTCACTTACTGTCTAATCTGCGCCTTCACTTATAGAACCATAAGAAAGATTATTAGCCGGTTTATTCCGCCCGTTCAGTGAATAATGACTACCTAGGTACCCACGTAAGGAGTCCTATGCTAGGTAAAGTGCATCATCTTCCCGTGGCGCAAACGGTGCAATCTGACGGTGTCTTCCGAGAAAAAAAAAGGACTCCTAGCTTGGTAGGATTAAGTGTATGAGAATCTACGCTGACCATAGTGATCAGGTCGATGTTATTCCATCCCCGACTATCTCAGACAAGCGAAGGTCGGAATTCTTTGTTCTAGCCGTTGACAATCTTGCTAGATCATCAGGATACCTACATACGTATTTGTACATCCCATCCTGCAAATGTCTTTGAATTGGCATCCATGCCCTAATATTGAAAGCTCTGGTAAGAAAGATGACTCTCGTAGAGCCGGAGGGGGGACAGACAGAGAGGAGTCGCAAACCCATTCTGATGGGGAATAAATATAAATATCCTGATAACCACGACAGACATAATATAATATGTAATCAGCCCAGGAAAGGAAAGCCAGACAACCCGGATGTGGATAGATGGAATCACATCGTATACGGACCGCATAGATAGCGACATTGAAGACTATTACTCCCGACTCCATCCATCCATCCATCCATACGGCCTATTTATATTTATTCCAGGTAGGATCTACATAGGTTGTACTGTACTGTGCATGCATACACACCAGGAGGAGCTTGTTGTTGTTATTCTAGTTCTAGTCAGAACTCATCGATTGAGTGATCGATTGTCATATTCGCCAAACAATCCAGATTCTATTTATTGATCAAAAAGCAGCACAAAACACACACACACACTCCAGCATCGAGCTTGACAACCAACAGCGTCATCTCATCGTCGACTATGACTTTTATAAAACCAGCCAAAAAGGAGAAAGAAAGACGAGAAAAACAAAAACCTCATAAAACCGCCTTTTCGCCTCTTCTTTTTTTTCTTCTTTCTGTCTTTGAATCATCAATAATAACCGCTGTTTATAGCCGCTCTAAATTCTAAAGGTCGTTCCTCAGGAACGTGTATATTATATATACTCTTCTTCATCATACCAGATAAAAGGAGAACAGAAAAAAAGAAAAAGAAAAGCACACAACGCTCGTCTTCACATTACATACAATGGATTGATTGTCACGGACAAAAAATATAATAATAAACCAGAAAGAAAGATGTGCAGCAGCTAGTACTCCGCAGTTATCGAGCTGCTGTTCAATGACCCAATTGTCGCAATCACGTCAGCTGGTTCTAACAGGTGCCAGCTGGCCAGGGTCTGCTTCGAGCTCGCGCCCACCGTCACGGAGAAGACATGCTCGGGTGGGAGGTCGGAATTGCGCAGGGCACGGAACATGTCTAGCAAAAAGACGAGTTAGTATCTACAGTAGTTCCAGGTCGATGGATGATGGTGGATGTGTCTCACCCTCGTCGGTAAAGTCGTCGCCCAGGCACAGGACAAAGTCCGGCGGCTCTCCCGGTGCTGTCCCGTATTCATTCACCAGGCGCGTTGCGATGAACCCCTTGTTCACAAACGTCGGGCGTACTTCGAGATTGGCCTTCCCTGCCATCACTTCGACATCCCACTTCTTCATCACCGTCTCCTCCAGGTGCTTGCGGCACTCCTTCGCCTGGAACGCGCCGTATTCCGGATCCGCGCGGCGGTAGTGCCAGGTCAGCGCCACGCGCTTCCGTTCAATAAACGCCCCTTGCGTCCGCTCGGTGTAGTGCTGGAAGATGTCCATGACCTCCTTCTGCCAGCCCATGTCCGTCTGCGCGGCCAGGTTCTCCCAGTCGTCGCTGCGCGGTTTGCGGATGAAGCAGCCGTGCTCGGCGCTCAGCCCCAGTTCCGGGATATGACCCATCCACTCGTCCAGGAACGCTTGATCCCGGCCGCTGATAATCCACACGGCGTTCTTCGGATCCGCAGCCAGCGTCTTGATCGTCCGCAAGACGCGATCCGACGGGATGGCAGCCTGCGGATCCTTGACGATCGGGGTCAGCGTTCCATCGTAATCGAACATGAAGAGCCGTTTCTTGGCCTTGCGGTACTGTTTCAACAACTTGCTCCGGTCCAGGGCCGGCGTGACGATCGACTGGTCAAACGAGGACAGGTTCGTCAATAGACGGTTGAGATACTGCTGCGACCAGGCGGAGACTGTATTGGAGGTGACATGCTTGTAGAGCTTGCGATGCTGTTCAGCCTTCTCCTCCTCACTCATGGTCAAGGCCCGATCGATCGCGGCTGCCACGCCGCTCAGATCCCACGGGTTGATATGGATCGCACTGGGAAGCATGGCCGCCGTCCCCGAGAATTCGGACAGGATAAGCGGTCCGTGGTTGTTCTGCTGGCAGAGAACGTACTCCAAGCTGGTCGTGTTCATGCCGTCGCGAACACTGGTGATCAGGCCCACGTCAGCCACCCGCAGCAAGCTGAAATACTCCTGCTGCGAGATGTATTGCGGATAGTACTGCACGGGCGTGAAACTCAGCGAGCCAAAGCGGCCGTTGATGGTTGACACGAGATTCGACACCTGGCTGCCAATCTTGTTTTCGGGGTCCTCCTTCTCCTCCTCCATACTGGTCGGGCTGGTGACCTGGATCAGCACGACTTTTTCCCGCCATTGCGGGTACCGATCCAGAAAGGTTTCGAAGGCGAGCAGCTTCTGGGCCACTCCACGGACGCTGTCGAGTCGATCCCGGCCCACGATGATCTTCTTGCCCGCATACAGTTTCTTAATCCGCAGCACCACCTCTTCGATGTCGGGGGCGCCAAAGGCCAACTTTTGCACACTTTGCGCATCGATACCGGTTGGGAAGACATCCACAGCGACATGGGCTCCGTAGGCATCTACGCCCGCTGGATTGGAATCGAAGCCCAGGATGCGCGTGCAGCAGGACGAGAAATGCCGCGAGTATGAGTAGGTCTGGAAGCCAATCATGTTGGCTCCCAGCACGCCCTCGAGCACTTCCTTTCGCTTGGCCAGACAGCGCAGGTATTCGCTGCTGGGGAACGGCGCATGCAGGAAGAAGCCGATGTAAATGTTGGGGATCCGCTGCCGCAGCAGACTGGGGAGCAAGAACAGGTGGTAGTCATGGATCCAAACGATATCACCCGCCTGGTATATCTCAGCAATCCGATCGGCGAAGAGTCGGTTCATGCGCAAATAGTCCGTCCACCACTTGCGCTCTGACCGGCCGTCTGTCGGACCATTCTGTTTGTAGTGCAGCAGAGGATAGAGGGCCCGCTCAGGATAACGCCTCCAGCGAGACTGGTCCTTGAGCCAGATGTCGTCACTGGGCTCGTCGGACTCGGCCGACAGCCAGACGGGGAAGATCTTGCCGTACTTGCTCGACCGCAGCTGGGACTCGAGACGATCGCGATCCGCCTTGGACACCTTGACGCCCTCCACGACCGGATGGCTGGGTTTCTGGTGGTACCCGACAGGGACCGGCGCTGCCACTTTATGCATAGCGAGCTGCGTCGCAGGCCCGGTTGCGAGCGTAGAGATGGCTGCCGGAGTGCCATTTGCTGAGACGGGTTGCAACGGAGGCCTTTGCTCTTTCTGAATGGGTTCCACCTCGCCCGTCCAGCCGACGAGAATATGCGACCACGGCGACTTGTCGGAGGCGAGATGGGCGAATGAGTCAAAGAGCGCGGACGTGCCTGGTCGGGGTTTCAATTCCTAGAGCCACAGTCAGCGCGACGAACATCCCACCACTCCTTCTGCTGTGGATGATGAGAAAAGCCGTACCCAATCCGATCCTGGCTCGAAGGCTACTTTGTATGGAATACAGAAAGCGGCGCTGATGATCCTGCCTGACAATTTCAGCCCCGGGTGGGCAGTCCGCGGGTCTAACACCGGAGACGCCGGCGTGAGGCCTCCTCCCACGAGACTGAGGCGACGCAGAAGTTCCGGGCCGGACGTGGCGCCTGATGCAGCCTCCGCGGGGGTAGCAGGAGATTTCGCATAGGCGTCTTTGGTGGATGTTGTGCCGGGGACGTCGGAGAAATACGATGGGCCATCTTCCTTCGCAGCGGGCTCGCTGGGTTTGCCGTCAGAGACGACGGCCGGAGTCACAGTCGAGGCCCTTTTGTAAGCGCCCTCTCCTAGCGTAGACAGTCCGGGGCCGACCATGACAGGATCCGGCTGGTCCGGAGGGACCCTATCGGGGGTCCCTTGCTCATAGGCCATCTGGAGCCTGACGACGCGCGCGATGGATAGGGTGAGAACGGGTCGAGAGGGAGAGAAACGAGGAGACTGCGAGCAATACGGGATGTCAGCACATCAGCGCACCAGGAACACGCAACGCCAGCAGCACGAGTCTTGTGGAAGCTCAATGTATACGTGCACGTTGCTGAGGGTGGTCGAGATGGGGGTGTCGGTACCTGTGGGGGGTGGCGGACGGAGGAGCAACGAGCGGTTTATCTGCAGGCCGCCATAGATGCGTCGACAGGGAATTTCAGTCCGTTCAGAAGAGGATGCAGGATGACTCGTCGCACGGAGCGTAATTCAGGCTCGAGCGACAGCGCAGGAGGATGCCAGGAGCGAGAGGGCGTAGATAAGAGGCGACTGAGGGGCGGAGCGAGACCGAAGGCGGAAGAAATGCCAGTCTGCTAACGGGGTCCAGCCAGCACCACCGCGGCGGAGGGGCCCTCGATAGTCTAGTCCTCAGCACGCAGCACAGGCGGTGTGAGTCGCTGGTGGACAGCGTACGCAGAGAGGATGGCCAGAAGGGCGATGCTGGCTGATTCTAGAAAGCAGGCGACGGCAGCCCGACAGGCGCTTGCTGCCCAGAGAGCGGTTGAGCGAGATGGGCGCAGTCGAGACCTCAGTAAGCAGCACTGTCACGCGGCTAATCTGGACTATTAACCAGTAGTCTACCTTAGTACGCCCGCTCTGCCTGAGGCGCGATGCCTGGCGGATGGCTGGGCATGAATATGTACGAAGCCTACGACCCGACGCTGCGGACTGCACACAGACGCGCGCACGTGCAGCTGCTACGGTCGTCACTACGCACGAAATCTGTTTCATCGGCATGACGGAGATCTGACGCTGCCCATGCCGGGGCCTGCTCGTTCGTTTTCCGATCCAGGGATGGATTCGAGATGCCTCTCGAACTGACAGCTGGGTCGGTCACGTCATTGCGTCGCTGGGCGGCTACCGCGGGCCGCACAGATGGAGGGATTGGGGAGGGGAGGCTCCGCATCCTGTGGCCATGGCACAGCTACAACCTGCCGAAAGACGGCGAAGACGATAGAAAGATGGATTCTGCTGGATGTTCCTGGTGGACGGCGTTGCATGTGCTGCTGCTGCCACTCGGCAGTTGACCCTGTTGAGCCCCGCGATGCTCGAACGAGTTAGCAGCCAGCCTAGTGCGCCTCTAGCAGTGCGCTGACAAAGTCTGGATCGAGCCCGCGCCGCTGGCTGGGTTACCTGCAGATGCAGAGAATCCATCAGTCGGGATCATTATTATTATTGGGGCTTCCAATAGTCTGTCTCAGTATGCTACTTAGTAACATGGCTCCCTATTTTCGGACACATGTCACGTGGTCATGTCATCATGTGATCATTATGCCCTAACCCTGCATAAATCACGTGCAGTTGATCATCATGTGACCTTATCAATGCTCCTATCAGATCGGCTTGAAAATTGTTGATCATCTGCAGTGATCTCGACACTCCTGTCAGAAGCAAAAGCAAACGCCGTTGCCCGCATTGCATCGGCTGTCCCCGTTTCCATCCTTTGCACATGCCCTGCGTGGGTCTGGCCATCCGGTCGCGATGTTCTCTGGCTGATCGCAAGATGCCCCGTTGGGGGCGACGACCTGCTCTGTGTCTGTCCCCCGTGGGATCTCTCTCCACTCTCCTCGTTCGTTTCTATCAGTTCTCCGGTTTCAAGATCAAAAACCCGTATCCCGTCTTCAGAAACAGTCTCCGGAAGACCCTCGAAGCTCAGCGTGCCGTCAACCGCAGCCGACTGATCCGCAAGGTGTACTATGACAAGCCCAGCCCGAACATCTTCCGGCCAGCGATTCCGAAAGAGAATTTGGCAGGCCAGCAGCAGGTAGCGGCAGAATCCGAAAATGATTCTCCTTCGAACCAGACAGCGGTGACGGCACGGGTTCACAGTACTCGACCTCAATCACCCAGACGAGGAAGACGGGTTTTGAGACGTCCGAATCCACGAGAATCGATTTCCACACCCCTCCAATCGCTGTCTTGGAACGTGGACGAGAGCGCTCAGCGCCCTGCACAGTATCCGTGGCTCGAATTACTGCACTCCAATACCGATGATTCGGACGGTCTCTCCCGGCTGGATGCAGAAATCCGCTCTCTGGAAGAGTTTCTGAGTCCCAGCAACCAAGAGCAGGTTGCCATTGAACAGATCGTACAAGACTTGTCCACGCTGGTCGCTGGAGTCGTCCCCCATGCCCCTCAAGTCGTGGGCTCGCGACATACAGGAATGGCGCTGGCTCATTCCAATTTGGATATAATCATTGCGGTTGATGATCCTGACTTGCCCACTGATGGGGATCGCAGACCGAGTCCGATGCGGCCCCAGGCCGTCAAAGCATATTGGAATACTCTGCGCGCTGCGGAGGCCGCCCTTCGACAAAGTTCAGTGTTCGATCATATTCACTTGTCTCAGGATCGAATTCCTGCAATAACGATGGTCCACCACGCTACGGGCATACCGTTGCGGGTCTACTGTGCAGAAGAGCCACCCGCGGCGCTTGAGTATATCAAGAACTACCAAATGGAACACCCAGCGCTCCGGCCTCTGTATATGACTCTGCGGATGATCCTCGATGTCCGGGGCAATTTTGGGGCGAGCCGATCATCGATTGGGCCCTACGGACTGCTAATGCTGATCACCGCTGTCCTGAAGCTACATCCTCGCCCGCCAAACAGTCTGGGGGAACAACTCCTGGATATCCTCCACACGTACGGCACAGCGGTCAACTTGGAAACGACAGGAGTCGCGGTCGATCCGCCCGGGTTTTTCGACTTTGCAACCGTTCGACGGCAGGAAGACGTGGCCAGAGAGACTGGAGAGGAGCCTCCATATCTCCGCGGACAGCGCGCGCTCCTACGATTCAAAGTCCGAGCGCGAGACAAAGCCAACCACCCGGCAGCTCGGCACCTGTGCATCCAGGATCCTACCAATTACTTGAACGACGCAGGCTGGCCGTGCGTGCGAACAGCAGAGCTACAGGGTGCCATGGCCGATGCATACCAACGTCTGCGAGCAGCTGTCGACGCGTGGGACGGCAATGACGACCGCGCTCCGGAGAGCATCCTCGGACAAGCCCTCCAGGCCAACTTTGACGACCTGAAACAGTTACGGAGTCGAATTGGGAAGTTGTCCTGACATCGCTGGTTTATCTTCGTTGTTGTATTAAACATATACCCTTTTTATTTAAGATACCAGATTTCAGAAGCTGAACCGGGAATACAAAGGCGTTTCGGGTAGAACAATTAATATACAGTCTGATCGGTTCGTAGTCAGTTGTCTCGCCAGGAATGAAGTACAAGGTAAACCACACTAAGTGATCTCTATGTCATATCACACAGTAAGTAACAAATAAAAATAGCACACAATATAGTACTACAGTACAGATTAGTACACTTTTTCCCCATTTTTTGTTCCCACCCTCCGTTGCTATTTTGTCCCTCTATTTATTTATTTTCATTCTATTCAATATTTTTTTTCTCTTTCAAATATACTTCCTCCTCTTCAACCACCGTTCCAGCCATCGCCTCTCTTCCCGCTCAGCACTCCATCCGTTTGCTGACCGGCTACTATTACTGACGGGCCCTGCCACGCCGAATCCGCCGCGCTCTTCGACGGCTGTGCGCACTTCCTCTGCGTTGAGCGCCTTGACGCCGCCGCCGCGCACGATCAGCTGGTCGTCCAGCGCGAGGTACTCGGTGTACTTCTTCAGACGAGGGCGGTAGAGCCACGGCACCAGCCACGCCGGGCGGTCGTGCGATTTGGCCAGGCCGAACACGGCGCATGCGCGCAGGACCTGCTCTGCGGATGCGCTGGCGGCGAAGTCCCTGTTGGCGAAGTTGTCGGCCAGCCAGGTTAGTTCTTCTTCCGAACCGGGGCTGATCGGGGTCGCGGAGCCCAGACCGCCCTGCACGGCCTGCAAGGCGAGCTGTTTCCGCTTCTCCCGCGCCATGCGCTCCTTGTCGACCTGTCGGGGCACGCGGCAGGTGAAGGGCGTGACGGCGTTGCCGAGCGCGAGCACGACCAGCGGTGTCATTTCGCCGCAGATGATGAGGAGCAAGGTGAACGGGATCATGCGGCGCACGTCGTAGGCGGCGCGACGGACGAGCTGCAGATCGGCGCGGCTGATATTGAGCGTCTCGACGGCGGCGTCGAACACGGCGCCGGACGTCCCCTTCGGTCCCGTGCTGGGCGCCGGCGGAGGAGACGTGGGCAGATACACGGGCAAGCCCAGCGAGCGCCGGATCGGGATGGATGCGCGGTAGTTGTGGTAGACATTCTTGAGACCCGTCTTGTAGAAGGTGTAGTAGGCGCGGCCCACGGCCAGGTATCGCGAGAACCTGTCACGGAGCGTCGCCGATGGGGCCAGACGAGGGGGCAGGTTGAGATCCGCCGGGCGCGTACTAGGAGGGGGATTCACGTCGGACGACAGCGACGTTGTTGCAGTCGCAGACTCAGTCGTAGAGGAAGGGAGTGGTGCGGCCGACGGAGGGCGTTGGTGCTTGGGGGAGGAGGACGGCGAGGCGTAATATCTGCGAGATATCCGACACGGGGACGCGGACAGGAAGAGTCCTCTGACGATCGCATTGTTATCGACAGCAGGAAATGAGCATCCTCCCTTCCAGGCGAACAACCAAGCAGAGGAAGAGACGACAGCGTCGTCGAGGAACAACCGGCCGCTGCGGGAGTAAGATCGCGCGACGGAGACGGCGCAACGACCGCAGAGGATGGAGGAGGGAGAAATCATGGAGACGTAGACATGGGTCTGATGATTCAATTGAGTCTGGACAAATCAAGCATCGGGTTTATTTCTCTCCCTGCCACTTGGAAGCGGGGAGGTGGAAGAATATGCAGGATAGACAATTATTAGGTCGGGGTGATGTTGTCGGCTGTCGCCTGAAACGGAAAGTTTGACGCTTTTGTTTGGTTCGTCGCGTTAACTCATGATGAGCACATGCGCATTATGTAACCACGCACTTTGATTCGTCCAAAATTATTACAAGCAGTAATACTACAAGTGTATATGGACTAATAAGATGAATTGATCAACTGAAGTATTACTAACACAGAACTCGGGAGAATAGAGAACGCTGGCGTTAGAGTTAATAGACAAACAAGGCGGAAGAAGATACTAGGGCTCGCCCATTTGAACAGAAGCTTGTAGATCAAGGCTGGATGGTTGTTTCGAGCTATCCTTTAAGATCTTTAGCATCCAAGTTGGGATAGATGTTTTAATAGAATATAACCTAGGTCTTCAGGACTCTTTAGTAAAAGGTTAGGTATGTACATACATAATCCTACTCCGTACAGCAAGCTGGGATTTTCCCGAGTTACTATCGGCTGACACTCGCAAGAAAAGAGATAAAAATAATTGAGAGAAGAGGACGTTCTGACTCATCAACCAAGCATTTTGACGTTTGGTTTGTTTGTTCGATGCTTGACATGTGATTGCGGTCATATGGCAGAAAAGTCTCTTCTTGCCTCTTTCCATTCCCTCCAACCTCCTTCCCCGGTCTTCCTACGCCTGCTTCGGTCCTCTACCTGTTTCGTTTCTTTCTCTTCCTCCCTTGTCATCTTCCATCCAAGGCTTTCTACGTCACACTGGTATTGAAGAGAAATCCATCTCTTATCCCTTCATTCCATCTGGAGATTATCAATTTACATCCTTTTCGAGGAATGTTGTCCCTGTTTTCCTCTACTACCCTCTGAGAATGTCGATTGGCATCTTCCTTAGGGAGTGCTGGCTGGTTCCTCCTTCGTCTTCTGATGATCAAGCAACGGGCAGTCTGGGTCAGCATCCATGCTCAACTAGGCACCCGACCCAGTGTAACGATATGCCGCGCATTTGAATTTAGGCAGTCGCACCCAGTTCATGTTCTTTCCTTCCTCCTACACCTTCCATCATCTTTATCTTTCGCCTGATGCGGCCCATAATGCAGCCTGACCTTCCATCTCCTCCACACATGGCAACATACACGATTTCAACAGCCCGGGGAGTATCTGGCTTCTTCCCGGCTCCAGGCCCCGAAACTGAAACCGTGGAAGATGAGCCTCCAAGATACCTCTTCCCTAAAAGCTCAACTGATCTCGTGAATCTGTTGAAGGCCTTCTATGAAAGGCCCGACTTTGAAACCATTAGGGTGCATGTGATAGAAGAGTGGCTATTCAGTCCTGAAGTGAAGGCAGCACTGAAGCCCATCTGGGAAGAGAGAGCACGAGCACGTCGTATCTACTACGACCGAGAACGCGGGCAGTTGAGGTTAAAAGGAATGGGCAGCTCACCGCTTCACGACTCAGTCTCCAAATGGGCAAGAGTTTTCTTTCGAAAATCATCCGCCACAGAGTCCTAACGGATACAGAAAGCGAATCTCTTCAGTTGTATACTGGTTGTTCACAGCTCTCTCGGCGGGTTGAGTCGGGAGACGACACTGGACGGCACCGAAAGAAACTTCAGGGGTGGGACAGATACCCAGATATCTCTTTCTCACTTTCAATTCCAGATAGTCTGGAAAGCACAATGACTATTGTATTTGAAGTGGGATTCTCGGAGTCGTATGACGATCTCCAGACGGATATGGAACAGTGGTTTTCCAGAAGCGAGGAAGATATCCAGCTAGTTATACTCGTGGACATCAAAAAGAACAAAGAGCATCTCAAGGTCACGATCCCGAGAGACAAAGACGTTTACATCGCCTGCTGGAACAGTACGGTACTTCAATGGGAAGAAGGAGCCACTTCCTCGATCCCTTAACCGTCGAAGAAGCCTCGGATGATTCAGATCCCGAGATGTATCGTGCGATCCGCAAAGAGGTACAAACAGGAGACTGGGTTGGGGAAATTGTCGCCAATCTCGAGGTGTGGGAGAAAGGGCCATCTGGTCCTCGCCTGCGTGGAACACGCATTGTGAGTCCTCGCTTTTCTACCACTCTGCGTCCGAGGGGCTTCCTGACTGACTCTTGCAGCCTATCATACCTCAGCTACAGTCGTCTGACTTGGCAGACCCGGTGGTTCACATCAGTGATTTGATACCTGCTCAGCACCAAAATAGATTTGACAACTTTGATCAGACTCGCACCCCCCGCCTAGGTACGGCAGATCTTCACAACCAGCTCCTACGTGGCATAAAGTCACTAGCATATAAAAGAGCATTGACATCAATCCGCCCTAGGTGAGGATTATCAGAAGTACAGAAGGATGACCATTACCTATGTATGGTATATTTCCAGGGTCGGGAAGAAAGGGGAGATGAGAGGAGGTGGGGTGGGGAGGTTGGGCGTTCAGTAATGACTGGTACTATATATAGGCAGTGCTGTATCTTAGAAATAATGGAGATTAGGCATTAAAACACTGACATTCCTTTGCTCTTTGCGTTTATGCTGACGACCAGTCGGACAGTGATCAAAGAATATCATTATCATCAAAAATATGGTTCCTATATTGAGTACTCTTTATTCTAACTGCATAGCGCTTTTCTATTCTTTTCCTGTAGACACCGCAATTCCGGTCATTGATCACCACAATTTCTAGTCCCGAAACTGTATTCATCATCAGCATTCCTTGTTGTGGAAGGAAAGAAGAGGGACAGGAGGAGGAGGAGGGAACGCGGCTTCTTTGCTGCTGATATGCATGACAGAGCCAGGGGGTTGGCGACTCACGATCTCATATCTCACCAAGAACATAAAACATGACTGGAGAATGGAACTATTGGAGTGGAAGAAGCCGGTTCACATATGGCGATTCCTTGGCCACTTTGGAAACCGACAAACCGACGCAATCAAGCAATTTCTGAAACATCTCTACAATCTGTGCCATTTCACTGCATTCAATTCCCCTGCAAAACTTCAACGCCGGATAAATGTCCTGGTCCATCCCAACAGCCGCCACGACCAGTCGTGTCAGCTTGTCTTTGTCTTTCCAGTCGCACGTCATTTCAGCACTCGCGGGCCTTTGTCGTGTCCCGCGGGTTGTGGGCTCTCGCATCCGGGGGTGTAAAATGATAATATGGCACTGCTTCTCATCATTATCGCCTTTTGCTTCCATCTTTCCACGAAGACACATCATCATCGCTAGATGAGGGGGCGCAAAGCCCAATTCGCTGGCAGCCTTTCCCAAGGAATCCATTGACTCCTTGCGGAGACCGTCGGTGAAACGATCATTCTGACGGTTCTTGACTTGTACGACAAAATATGTCATCTTCGAGCCTTCCGGCAAGAGGATAGGTATGAGAATGTCACATCCTGGAAAGTTCATCGGCAGAAAGAGCGCCGCACCTCGGTTGAAGGCTTGTCTTAGGGTGCCCTCATTTGGGTCACCTTCGAGCCTGACGAAATGATTAAAAAACACCATACCGGTGTCCCACAGTTCTTTCATTCCAGGGTCTGTTTGCATCCGTGTTGAGATGGCGTCTGCTAGCTCCTTTCCTAAGAATGAACTAAAAAAAATTGAGCGACTGGGAGTGGGCCAGGTCGTGTGCGCCTGGAATACTTGAATTGCATCCGCCCTGATATTTCTCTTCCCCTGCCGACCCCAATGTGTTTTGCTGTTGTCCTGTGTTTGTCCCTTGTTCTCTTGTCGAGTTTCAAGTCAAGTATTTCATTTGTGGCCTCTGTTTAGCTGTCTGAAAATGGCTGCAGTCTTCGGTGTGTCCCCTCCTCGTAAGTCTGGGTTGCTCATCGGTGTTGCTGCTAGGCAGCAGACACCAAAGCCGACCGCACCCAGCGATCAGCCAGTTTTACCGGCTGTTCTTTCTCCTCATCAGACAAGACGAAGCTGCAGACTCGCCCAGGCAAAGAAAGCTAAGGAGCCCACCTCACCTGATCCCGACACAGTCATGGGGGTTGACAGCACCGTCCGGGACCTTTTGTTGTCCATCACATCACTAGATAAGCTCACATGTCGGACGTTGAACACATTAAAGGAAAGATGTCGTGAGCGTGTGAAAATTCCTGATCTGAAAGTAAGTTTGCCTCTTTGACAACTAGAAATGTACTGATGAGAGGATGCACATCCAAGTCGATGTCGAGAAATTCCATGACTGGTATGGGGAAGTTGTCGAAGGCGGATGTGTTGGGGTTGAATATCACGCAGATCTCGGAGAGATCATTGTGGTAGTAGCTCCCTCCGAATTACATCAAGGCTTGGAGAAAATCATGGCGTCTTGGTTTGACTATGTGGGTGCACATGTCAGCACCCCGAGCAACACTTACTCCAGTTGTCGCCAGTCAGGTAGGTTCCAGCAATGATAAATGTGAACAAAGCTGACACAGCGTGCAGAAATATCGCTCCGAGATTCTGAGAATGGCACCATAAAGATTGTGGATGCTTGTTTGATGAGCAGCAGCTTGCACAAACAGTTCCCACTCATTGCTGTCGAAGTTGGCTTCACTCAGCCTCTCGCCGACCTCTTCGATGATGCCGAAAGACTGTTTCGTGGCTCGTATGGAAAAATCCAAGTTGTAATCCTCATCAAGATATATGAGACGAATCGGCACAACAAGAATGAGTTCCCTTGGGGAATCCAGGCACATGATATTGATTCACTCCGCACCATGGATAAGGCCGAGGCCCTTGCTCCTGCAATCGAACAGTGGTATCATGACCAAAAATTGGCGTTGATTGGTGACCTGGAAGTTCAGGTATGTTGGTACCATCGTTGTCGGAAAAGCAGACCAACCCCGCCTATCTACGAGTTCAAACGCCACCCACACTTACGTCCACCACTTGGGTCATTTGTGTCGAATTTCAAAAAGGGCCCGGGCACATACCTTGATGACAAGTTTAGACTTGAGCTAGAGGGCCAGCGCTTCACCCTCCCAATGAAGGAGCTGGAGGACGGCCTCTGCGACAGCATCAATCGGGAGAAGAACAGGTGGATTAGTGGAATGATCAAGGACGCTGGTGTTTGAAATGGTGTGTGCGAGAGATTGCTGAATTAGATCTTCTCGTCGCTTAGGTCAAGCCTAACAATAAAAGCCAATGCAGAAATACTTTCCAGTACTTCATTTCCCTTCCAAAATAACTACATAACTTGATCGCAACTGGAATATACAGTACATCCTTCTATAGTCTATTCTATATTTAGTTTTATTTTATTTATTCTACTGCATAGCAACCCTCGCATCCTGATCAATATGCGTCGGCAGATTATACTCCGCATAGTCAAGATGAACAAACGCGCGATCGACATTGCCCACGCTCTCAAGCATGTGCTGCAGACTCTCGCCCAGGTCGTGGCTGTCGTGCAGCGTCGTGTGCTCGTCCAGGACTATGTCCACCTCGACGTTGAGCCGGTCGCCCGAGTGGTACGCTTCCAGGTTCTGGATCCACCGGATGCTGGCCGCGAACCGCATCACGAGGTACAGCAGCACGCTGCGCTCGTCGGGCGACGCGGCGGCGCCCGTCAGATGCGCGATGTGCTCGTTGGCTGTCCGCGCCCAGTTGCCCATCACGTATACCGAGAGGGCCAGACCACCGGCTGGGTCGAGGAACCATAGGTTGGCATATGTGCCGACTAGAAACTGGTCAGTCTTAGCTTTTCCAAGTCGTGGAGTCAACTAACCTAAGGGAAAGATGATGCTGAAAAGGTTGAATACGATATCCGTCATGGCATCCTGGGCGAGCGCCTGGACGTTCGAATCGTTGATCCGGCGACACCACAGCCAGCAGAGCAGCTTGACCGCCACGGTTGCGCCCATGATGGCAATCGCATCAGTCCCTAGCTGGACCAAGGCGTGGTCCTCGCCCGTCAGCCGCTGGAGAGACACAATGGCCACCTGGAAGAACGACGTGACCATAACAGTCGCAAAGATCAACACGCCGACCGGCTCGAGACGTCGCCGGCCAACGGGGTATCGGTGTCGATCCCGTCGTGCCGTCAACCGGGTCGTGCTCCACACGATCGCTGTGCTGAGGAAGTCCAGCGCGGCGTCGACCAAGCTGGCCAGCACCGACACGGAGCTGGTCATGACGGTGATCACGATCTTGGCGGCCAGCAACAGAACATTAGCTAGGAGATTGACGTATATGGCTGTCAAAACGACGCGTCGAGTATTCTGAGCGGATTCCATTTTGGGGCCCAATAAAGGTGTCTCCTCTGTAGGAGATAACAGAAGGGGCGTTCTTTCATTCAGCTGATGGTTTACATGCTGTGTTTTGTGCGTAGTTATGCTTTCATGAACAGAATCCTGTCTATAACTGCCATTCTCAGCTTCATCAGCGGGAGACTCCTCTGCGATGGGCTGCAGCTGCAGGCGACGGCGATTCTTGGCCCATTGACGATCGTAGTTCTCGATAAGGTCGTGAGCGATGGACGAGTCGAGCAAGCGATCCACGTAGAGATACCGACTGACGAGATAGTTCATTCGCTCGTAGTATTTCCGGCTGGCAGACTGCGCTTAGCGAAATCCGCCTGGGCTCGTGATGATACATCACTCACACTGGTTTACGAAGCTTTCGCAGCTGTTCTGGGGGTGTATAAAACTCCTGCCTAGACGGGTTAGTTCGGTACATTCATTATTCTTCATCGATTTTTTTTTTAATTTAACCCTGACATGGCCAATAAAGATAGCAACTAACATACCATCGAAAAGGCGACGTCGTATCCCCAATCAGCAGCGAACTACGTCGATGCAGTCGTTCACTCACAGACGACGACGAAGCCGCAGATAGTTGCTCCGGCTCATTCGCATTCGTCAGGAGAGCATTGTTGGAGGAGATTCTCGCACTGCCCGCTTCGAGATCATCATTGACCTCCGTCTCGAGGGCTGCCCGCCGGCCATCTGGTTCGGTCGTGCTGTCTGAGATGGAATACCGCCTGATGAGACCGGGCAGAGTCTGGCCGCGCGTGGACATCATCTGCCAGGTGGGTTCGGGGCACAAGGGGAGGAAGGACGACAGCTGCGAGGAGTCGGAGCGGCGGAGGGATGACATGGTTGGCAGATCATACTATTAGATAATTTACCGTCGAGAGAAAGAGAGGTATAGATCAAGTGAATAATCCAGCGCATTCAATCGGCATCCAACAGAGGGAATCCAATCCAATCACGTGGCAGAAAGACTTTTCCGGTCCTCAATTCTTGTCCAGCGAATCGATTACCGGCATAAAGAAAAGCCATTGAAACCAGCAAGCAATATAAATACAACCAGGGAGTCTGAAAAAGTATAAAGTATAGAGCAAGTCGCAGATGATAATAGATCCGGGACGATCGATCGACCAAGGCGATCAGTTTAGTTTAGTAGCCGGTCGCGGGGCGGCGTTCCGACCGCTGATTGGCTGGGCGGCAACTAGGCATGGAAGATTCGCGCGTCCCGTCGGAAAGTCTGGAGAATTACCACTCTTAGAAAAGTTTGAAATTAATTAATACAAGATTCTTTATTTCTTATTATTTTTATTCTTTTGCTATCTCTCTGAATTCTTAGTAAGAGGATTATTTGCTTGGAAACATGCCACTCAGTTCAGCTTCATCACTTTGCTACTAGCTAGCTAGTGCTTTGAAGGATAAATATCTATTCCTGAGCTGCAAGTCTTGTTGAGCGTCTTTTGTTTTCTAACACTTCATACTTCTAATTCTTACAGGACACCTTCTATGTACAGTACATACAGTACATACAGTACATACATATACATTATATACTCTTTCGATTTATGTACACGATCCCTCCGCTAGGAAGATTGCATGCATAGCATGATTCAGAAGGAGCGCTACTGCAAACATGCAAGCATGCTTCCAGTTCAAGAAGAAGGCAGGCAGGTCAACAGGCTGCCCAGCTTCTGCAAGACGACGGCCTGCTGCTCGGCATCCGCATCGAGCTTGTCGTTCGCCTTGCCCACGCTGACAGACGCATAGCACCCTGCAGTCCCGACAACGTCCGACTCGGACGGCAAGCGACCGCCATTGTTGCAGGTGACGACGTCGTCGCCGCTGATGATCGTCCCAGTGTAAATACGGCTGAGCACAAACTTGAAGTCGTCCGGGCTTGTACAGCTGGTCCCGGAGCCGGCGGCGGGGAAGTTGACGTTCAGCCAGGTGTTGTTGGGCAGGTAGGGGGCGCCCGAGTCGAGCAATGTCGTCGTCAGCTTGGTCGCCAGCTGCGCGTAGATCGTGACGTAGTCGGGCACTGGGGTCACGTTCCACGCGGTCTGGCTGCCAGTGGCGCCAGAGAAGGCGATGCCGGGAATGCCCAGCTGGTCCATGGCCGCCGAGGCAGCACCGACAGTGCCGGAGAAGACGGTGGTAACGCCCAGGTTCGCTATCATGGCAGATCTGTCAGCTGTGATCAACTTCATTCCCGTCGAGCATGCCACGCACATCCCACATTGAAGCCAGACACGACGATGTCCGGATTGCCACCGAAGAACTTGGGCGACAGGGTCTGAACACCGTATTTCATGGCCGTGACCGGGTACGAGTTGACATAGTTGAGCCGGGGGTTGGAACTGTTGTAACCCACAGCAGGGCTGCCAGGCGGGCAGCTGTCGAACTCGCAGCCATTGGTGACGTTGGTGGGAGTTCCTTCCAGGGATCCTAGTGCTACTGATCAGAACGACTGCACAGATGGCATGACAATGGCATGGTACAGACCTTTCCCGGATTGGTTCTCCGCCGGCGCCGACAGAACGACAGACTGGCCTGCCGCCGTCAGCGTGTCGTACAGCGTGCGGATGTTGATCTCGGCCCATCCATCGTCATTCACCTGGACGATGTTGGCAGCGAGAGCGGAGGTGGTGAGGAGGGTCGTGAGCAGGAAAGAGGCGTGCATTTTCAGAACAAATCTACCGGCGTGAGGAAAGGAAAAGAGGAGAGAAAGGACCCTGCAGACGATATATGACAGGTTTCAATTAAACCGTGCTTCGTAAGCTGGACAAGCCTGTCAGTGGATCGATCGATCGGTGATCCGCCAGAGGGCATATATAGATAGATAATATATAGCAAGTGGCCTGTTGCGCGTGCAGATCACCGATGTCCCTGGCAGAAGCACATGCGCGGGTCAGCCAACCAGCTGCCTAATCAGGCAGGGGATTACCTGAAAAGGATCAGACGCTGTGCTCGGACGGGGGCCAGGAGAGGGCTCACCTGCATCTGCGACCTAACCTAACCGACCTAAGCTGAGCTTGGGCTGAAGCCAAATTAGATCGCGCATCGACGGCAGAATCTGCGACGGTCATGTTGCTGTCCATGATGATTATTCTCGAGACATACGGAGTAAGCCGGAAACGGCAGAGCGACCGAAGGGAGTCGGCAGAGGATTTGTCTCGCCGAATGAGCGACCCACGTGGCCCGCCCGGCGCAGCGTGCACGCGGAGAAAATGAGCCCGCGGCAGGCAGTCCAGCTCTAGGGTTACATCGTCCGATTCAACACGGTCGATCGTTGGCTTCAATTTCAGATTTGGCTAACATACACAGACAAGGCACATAGCTAGCATACAAACATCATCGGCTGGACAACGCTACGCAGGAAAACACGCAAGCTACGAGCAAGTTGAAATTATGTCATACTGAAATATAAGAAATTCAATAGGAAATCAAGACCCGTCCCATTGCAAGCCGTCGTCACATTGCGGTCGAATTTCGCTCCATTCTGTTGCTCAGCTCAGAGTAGGCAGATTACCCGACCGGAGATTGGGTAGCATCCAGCAACCGGCCAGCGCCCATTCTCATGCAGCAAGACTTGTTCTCATCTACCCCAGCAGGTAGAACCGGGGAGACGCCCACCACTGAGCCTACTTTACCCCTGCTTGGCATGGGAGAATTCCTCGTCACTGGCATCGAGGATGTCGTACTCCTCGTCCGTCAGGAATCCATCCCCTTCCGTATCCACATCCTCGAGTGTCAGGCTCTCCACGTCCTCGAGGACATCTTGCTCGCTAGCATTGGACAGCGACGGGGCTGACGGCGCCGCGGGCGCGGCAGGTTCCTCGCCCACGGCCTCATGGGTGCTGGAGACCGGAGACTCCTTGTCCAGCTTCGGGAAGATCATGTTGCTTTCACTCGGCTTGGGCTCCTCTTTGGCATCCTCCTTGACCTCCGGGGGCTCGCGGGTGGCGTTCTCCTGTTTCATCTCCGACTCCGGAGCGCCAGTATCCGCGCAGACCTGGACGTCACACCAGAGTTTGTGTCCAAAGGGAGTTCCGTCCGGAAGCTTGAGACGCCAGTACGAGATGGACGTGCCTTCCCTCTCCGGGGTCTTGAGCGTGACGGTGAAATCGGCCGATTCACCTGGCGCCACGGGAGCGGCCAATTCGTTGCTCGTCATAGCCGACATGATCGAGCCCACGCTGGACGGGTGCTTGGTGTCCACGTTGAACATCGAGTCACCGCCCACAAAGCGGACACTGCTACCGGCAGGCCATGCCAGAGGGCCGGGGTTGTACAGCGTCCAGGTCTGTTGGAAAACGTAATTTGGCGGGAGCTTGGTCCCATCTCGGACGGTGTCGCGCATGTAGAACGCCTGGAATTCGGACTCCGGCGCTGAAGCCGTCATCATGCTCGATTTGGTCTGTTCATCATCGGCATTGGGTTCGTTGTCTGCTGCCTCAGACTGAACGTTTTCCTCCACAACATGCTCTTGTTGCTCAGCCTCCTTCTGTTCACGACGCTCTTCTTCCACCGGCTTCTCATCTGGCTGGGTCGCGTCGGCCCGCTCTTCTTCAGCGACAATGGTATTGCTGGATGAAGAGGGTACAGCGGGCTGGGCAATGGCCGGGGCCGGGCGATCTCCCATGCTGATCGTGGGTCCGCCAATTCCATCGTCACCGAACGTGCTCACCGTCACGTTGCGCACTGGAGTCTTGAATTTGATCAAGGGATGGGTGCGGTTGTGAGGGTTGGTAGGCAGAGCCTCACAAGCGGCACAGAAGTCGGTGTCGTGGCACACCGCGCACTTGTACCGGACGCCCGTAATGTAGGTCTGCTTGTTCCGGCAGAGAGGGCCATCACAGAAGATGCCATAATGAACTTCGTGCTGAGGAATGGGATCGGCAATCGCTTCATAAATGGGGACGAACCGGTGGCCCGGGTGCGTCTCAGGAGCCGTCTTAATGCAGGACCAGCAAAAGTCCCAGTCGGGGCAGGCCAAACACTTGTGGCGGACGCCGATAATACGCTGAATGAACTGTCAGCTTCGTAGCAGGATGGGATGGGGAGAAATGCAACGGACCTTGTCACAACCATCACAGATCGCCGCGTGATGCTGATGGCGACCCGGCCGGCATCGGGCGAGAACCAGGTTCTTCAGGCAGAACTCGCGATCATGGATCAGAGAGAAGGTATGGGCGGGATGGTGCCCATGCGCGTCCTTCAACAGACACGTGAGGCAGAGATCATAATCCTCGCAGTCAGTGCAAGTAACCATCTTGGTCTCATCGAATTCTGCCACACCATTAGCAAAACACACCTTTCCACCTGTGCGGCGGGACCTCTTACCTCGGAAGCAAGCATTGCAGGTGCGCTCGCCCACGGCAGACACGGGCTCGGAAGTCGAGACAGGTTCAGAAGTTGAGACAGGCTCAGAAGTCGAGACGGGCCCGGACGTCGAAACGGGCACCACCTCCATGGCCTTCTCCTTGGGGGGTTCTGGCTCAACCTTGGGCCGACGAGGGGCGATGGTTTCGGTAGTGCTGTTGGTCACAACGCCATTGGTGACCAAGCGTTTGATCAACCAGTGATCCTCACCGTGGCAGGTGACACCGGCATTGACACAAGCTGGACACAGATCGTAGTCTCCGTCATCACAGATGCTGCAGTGGTAGTGTTCCCCAGGGATGGAGCGCCCACAGTGGTTGCAGTCGATGCAGAACGCCGCGGTAGGGGAGTCGGCAGAGGGGAAGAGCAGCGGATAGGCAGGTTTATCCTGACCAAGCGTAAAAAGACGGTAGCGAGGCTGAGCCGGCGAGGCCTCCACGGGAGGAACCTCCTCGACCGTCTGGGCAGCCTCCGGAGGAGGATTCAAGGTGGGACCGGCCACGGGCAACATGGTGTCGGTTCCAGTGGGAGGTGGCAGGGGCGGGCTCAGGACGGTTTCCAGGTAGCTGTAACGCTGGGATGGCTCATTCTGAACAGGAGCCTCCTGGGCAACAGGAGCAGCGGGGACTTCGGGCATTGCGGGAGGTGGAGTGTTTACAGTCGCCTTAATACGAAGCTTCAACTTGGCCTTGGCAGCACGGTAGAGTTGTTTGTAGACAGCAGGATTCTCACTGTCGAGGTAAACGTAAGAGGCAGCGCTGTCTGAGTAGCGGTGAAAGCTGACGTCGACGTCGTCGGGAATGGCAAGTAGCTGGCGGAGCTATGCGGATGGAGCTTTGGTCAGCATGGACGATGCCAAGAGAGAAATGAGGAATTGAGGCAGAAATTGCGCAACGAGAAACAGTCCATGTCCATAGAGATAGCAATTGTGATGAAAGAAACTCTGTAGAGAGAAAAGATGGATGTGATGCTGATCGCGGTGGCTGCCGACAGCTCCTCTCTGGCGGTCGGAGCTAGCATTCCGGGGACTGGGGAAGTGGACACACGTACCTTCTGGGGGAACACGCGAGCACCAAGATCCCTCAGTGGAATCTTGAAGCGGCGGTTGGCATCATTGTAGAGCACCTTGACGGTCACCAAGGTGTCCGGACCGACCGGAGGCGCTGGGGGTGCAGGAGCAGCCATGGCGATGAAGCGGTGAGATGGGGGTGGTGAGGCTGGAGATAGGGGGAGCTCCCAGGCAGGACGGGAGCGATAAGAGCGGATCCAGGCCAACACCTCTGGCAGAGGGAGACGAAGACAGATACGGTCCCAGGCCAGAAGAGATAGGCCAAGAGGGAGAGATGGAGGATGAAAGCACGATGGCAGAGACCAGGCGGATGGGCTGGCGATGGAGGAAGGGGAGGAGGGTGTAGATAGAGGAGGTGAAGGAAGGAAGATGAGGGGACGATGAGGTCGCTGCAGCCTAGTTGGCCGGCAAGCTAGTCAGCACGCAGCAGGCACGTCCCGACGCCCGGAGCGTGACGCAGTGGCAGCCCGCTTAGTCACGACAGCTGCCTTCGAGATTATTTTACGCTCCTCTGAGCTCCAGACAGAGGGATCATTCCATCGCAGCAACAGCCCCAGCCTGCAAGCATACCTTCTTCAGCAGGAGGCACGCAGCCAGTCCTCTGACTGGTGAGCTGCCAAACCGCAATGGGTTTAGACAGACAACAGCCTCACCGCCGATGGAGCGATCGCCGCAAGGCTGATCCACCAGACGTCATCTCCACGCTCCACACAAAATCTCTCTGCCTACAAGGTTGACGCATCAAACCCTACGATACAAGCAGACAGGCAAATGAAATGAGGATGCAATAGTCCTAAAATATTAATAGAAGTCAGCCTTATCTATATGAAACCAGATTTCTCAGGAAAGATCTATTTAAAAGCTACTTATCCCACTGCCCCCCTTGATCTATTTATCATTATCAGCTCAAAGTAACGGGAATTAAATGGTAATCATAATTAAACAGTAATCACTGCATACCCTATAATTGTTTGCATAAAGGGCTGCAGGAAAAAATGAGATCACTGGAAAAAGCCCCCTTTCCCACAAAAAAAGAACGTGTTCAGGAAGAAATCACGATTATTATTTCTTGGCCTTTCCGTACACTCTATGACTCCTCCACGCATTTCTTGGATCGGAGGCTCATCAGAAACCCTGTCTCTAGGCCAATTCTGGTATCATTCTCCGAGAGAGTTCCGTCTACTAGGAAGAGCCGTGCCTACTGCTGATATTGCTAGAAAACATATAGGACTGGGATCGGTAGTTCCAAAGCTTGATGCCAGGAATTAGTCATCTAGAAACTCAGCTGTATTGTAAATCCACACAGGTCGATTTAAGATTAACACCTCACCTTCCAGACTTTGTCACATTACGAACCTTCATACTTGACACATTTTTCAACCATAACATCGTCAAATATGGCCTCTCATAGGCATTCTATGTAATTGGTACTCGCGGATTTAATATCTGGCAAAAATTGATTCCCTATAAGCTACTGCAAAGCCTATAAGACATGTCCTGGTCAGCTCTTTTAGAGACCATACTAATGCCTACTGCCAGGCCTAGTAGGGGGCTTACCAATCTGGATATTGCCTATCTTAGTCAGTATAATATTTAAGTTAACCTGCTATGGTTAAGACTAACTTTATTATCCAGATATATGAGACCTTAAAGGACTTTAGACTCCTATTAGCCACTCTATTTTCATTTCGCTTAAAAAAGAGAATATTCGCCTCTTTATAGATGGTGACAACCTTAATTTTACCACGCCTACCTACCTAGGTAATCACTAGTAATGGGCGTTGGTTTTCCTTTAATCTTTCTCAGCTGTTTCACAGTTCGATTGTAGTTTTCATAGGATATATCTTTGACGATGTGGATAAGCGGACATACAAATCCTCTATTCCCGTCTGTTTAATCTCCTTTGTTGTCATTTTCTTTTCATTTATTTTCACTTCATTTCATCTCTTGGTCTTCCAGACGGAATTGAATTGAATTGCATATTTTCCCGGATTGGCAGATTTCTGGGGCAATTCCGCAGCCACGTGATATCGACTGCGACTGGAAGCACAAATTCCGGAACTTAAAGCATCTCGCTCTTTCTATACAACTGCGTTATTTCCTTGACCAGAAGCTTGGGCAGCTAGCTCACCTTCGCACGTGTCTTTGTCTGACCGCAATGCCCCCTTTTCGAAGAGCCCTTCGTATTCAAAGAAGGTTCGAGTACGGTGTACAATGTCTAGCAGACTACGCGCATCGATCAACACGTGCGCACAGTGCAGACGCCGCAAGGTCGGGCGAATACCTCCTCGTTTGACATTATTCCTAACGGCTTTCGGTACAGGTACGTTGTGACGGTCGGCGGGACACCTGCCGTAACTGCGAACGTCTTGGTTTCCGCTGCTCGTTCAATCACCATTTCCATGACAGCGCGGATGCCCAAGTCTCTGAAGGGAGGTGTCGGGTCAGCCTCGCGTGTAGCGCCTGTCTTGCGCGAAAGATTCGCTGTTCCGGGGAGCAGCCATTTTGTAAGCGTTGTCTTTCGCGGGGGAGCGTGTGTGTTTACACCCCACCAAGAGAATCGAACAGTTCCAGCAGGACCTTTCAGCAGGAACTGTCTCGAAGTGGAATTCACTCCTCCGACCCGAAAGCTGGCCAAGACAAACTAGCCGGAACAACAATATTTTCCAAGAATGAAATTCCTTCAAGCCTTCTAAGTGGTACTAAGTGAGTCAAACCGTTCGTCCCAAGAGTAGCCGAAACTCACTTTGGGAATCTAGTGTTGCACTTCCTAGCCTGCCGCAGATTATGGACGCGATCGAGGTCTTCTTTTCCCGTATATGTCCGTTGCCATTGTACTCATTTCTCCACAAGGAGACATTGATTAGGCAGATCAACGCTGGAATTGCCGATCCAGCTATTATACTGGCCGTCTGCGGTGTCAGCGCCCAGCTTCATTCCTCAATCCCGGCGGAGAGGGGAAGAAGTGAGGCCTGGACCGACGCAGCAGAGAGATTAATTATGACGAACCTTCACAGCCCATCCATATTCAGATTGCAAGCTCTTCTTCTTGTGACCAGACAGCGGCTGGAGGCAAAGATGCTCTCGAAAGCATTTATGTTGACAGCACTGGCCTCAAGGTTTGCTTTTGCCCTCCGATTGAATTATGAACGTCCAAAGTTGGGCTTTTCGGCTCAAGAATGTCGTCGGCGACTGATGTGGTCCGTGTTTCTGCTGGATGGACTCTGGTCTGGAGGTCTGAATGAATTTACAACCTGCTCCTTTGAAACAGTCCATCTCGAGCTACCCTCGAGCGAGAAAGATTTTAAGAATTGTGTCCCCCCATTATGCCACGAGGCAGACCCTCAGTCTGAAACTTACCCTGATTTATTAGCCCCTTGTCTACGACTTTCGATTATTAGAAGAGATATTCTGAAGTATGCCACAGGACCCGTTTGTATCTTATGGAAAGTTTAGTCACTGATCACGAACAGATATACTAAAATGACTCTCTGGGAACCTGACACGCCTGAGGCGCTCCAAGAGTCTGTCCGGGCGTTTGAACGGAGGCTGCATGAATTCCAAAGTGAACTTTCACTATCAGCCTCTTTCTGCGCAGAAAATCTGGAATACTACGCATCCACTCCCTGGTTGACACGGTACATACACATCCATACTTCGTGGCATCAGGCTAACTGTGATATTTTCCGATTCTTTCTGGCTGGGTATAAGGAGGCCATCCCACAATCTCTTCTGAATCGTATTGATCCAGAATTCGTGCTCTATGCAATGGAGAAATGCCTGGCCCATGCGGTCGCCATGACTGATGTGTTCTCTTCGGTTTTACAGCTTGACAGGGAGCTGCCCCCGATGGATAATGATATAGCCATCTGTGCCTATCACTGCACGAGGGTGATTTTATATTGCCTTCGCAACAATGTGGGAAGGAATCCACTGACTCTTGAGGCGGGGCTTCGACGCGCTTCCGTATGCCTCCAGGCAGTTACAAGGATCTTTGGCATGTCTCCCGCGCCTAGGATAATGGTAAGCAACACCAATGGAAATAAATTAAGCTTGCATGTCTCTGACAGATCTACTAGCGGGAGGCTATGGAGAAGATGTTATCATGTTTTAAGGATTCAGAGACTCTCGACGACGACTCTGCTTTACCAGACACGGACAACAATAATCCTGCACCAGTGTCGAACGCCGCACGAATTCGACAAAAGCTCTCCATTCATAGCCTAGTCCGACAAGCAAGCTTTGTTGATGACAGTCCAATTGTCGCTTCAGCTGCTGTCAGCAAGGAACAGTCTATTACCGAGCCATCGCGGAATGAGACTACAACCTCAAAAGGTGTTGAGCGTTATGGGGACAGTAATACGGTTCCAGATCCGATAATCGGCGGCGGGCTTTCCGTCGACAACGGGCTCATATTGCAAAATACGGAGCAAGCGTTGGATCCCGGATTGATATGGCAGAACCCTTTTCAGCAGGAACAGGGAAGCCTCGATTTCTTTATCGAGTCTGAGGATCAACATTGGAGGGATGCGTGGGCTCTATTTGATGGCCATAACGATGCGTCGCTTTGGAATCTAGAAATCCCTTAGTTGCCTCTTGACTAAGACTCACAGGTCGGGTGCATGGATTGACTTGTTCGCTTCCGGAAGACCATTTCTCATTCTTGGCGGTTCCATGTTGTGAACGAGACGTTCTGCTTGCTGTCAAGGTCAGCGGCCAATTTCCGAAGCAGAGGACTCTGGAGAAGGGCAGAGGAATGGACTTGGATGAGAGAGAACGAGATCCCATCCGGAAGACCATTTGTTTTCTCAATTCAACGTGTGCCATAAACTGGTGCCGTGAGCTCTGCGGCAATTCTCCTGGTGACATGGGACAATAATTCCTTGGCTGGCGAAACGAATACCGGGCTTATGGTTACTGCATGACGTTCCCCGCGACGTTGCCGCCTGGATGACGTTGACGTTTGAAATACGGCTACTCCGTACAGGAACAGAACGAGTTCGTTACGGTACTTTTGCCGACTGGCCAATGATGTGACGTATTCGCCGACTGCCGCAGTGGAGCTCCGACTCCCGCGGTGGAGCCGTCTGCCCGCTATAGATCGGGACCTTAGCCAATCGCAGAGCTTCTTCGCCGACTTCCGCGTTGGAGCCCCGACTCCCGCGGGCGTGGAGTATCTTGGTGGGAGTCGACATTGCTCCTCCGTACGGATTTCCCAATTGCAGATTCGTTGGCTGCAGTTTACTCACGCGATGCCAATCTCAAGGCACATTCCAGAAACCGTCAAAGGACGGTCAGTGCAGTCTTCGGCTGTCGCTCTGCTTTGACGCTTCGGAGCATTATGTCTCGCATGCGACCCCCGCTATTAAATACTGTAATATCAGCCCTCGTTATCCTCATCGAACATCCTCTCTGAAGTCACTCTTTTCACAGCGTTCGTTGAGCTGACCACCATGGCGCAACGCCCCAACATTGTGTTCATCATGGCTGATGACCATGCTTCTAAGGCCATCAGCTGTTATGGTGCCGGCATCAACTCGACCCCCAATTTGGATCGCATAGCCATCGAGGGCATGAAATTCAACCACTGCTACGTGACCAACTCCATCTGCACCCCTTCTCGCGCGGCAATGACATATTTTGACCTGGGTCTGGTCCAGCCGGATGGAGGTTCCAGTGTTGGGGAGAAACTCATCAACACCCCCGAGTGCACGGAGCGCAAGATCCCCGTGCCCCAGGACCTGACCAAGTTCAAATTGATCGACAAGGAGGATGGCACGGTCTTCACCTTCAAATCACACGGAGAACTGGCCGAATTCAAGTTCCAGCGGTACATGCAACGGTACCTCCGAACGATCCAGAGTATCGATGACAATGTGGGCCGGCTCTTGGACTTCCTGGACTCGGAGGGACTGGCTGAGAACACCATTGTCATCTATACATCCGACCAGGGCTTCTTCCTTGGTGAGCATGGTTGGTTCGACAAGCGATTCATGTACGAGGAGTCGTTCCAGATGCCTTTCATGATCCGGTATCCCAAAGAGATCAAACCTGGCACCGTGTGCGACGACATCATCTGCAATGTTGACTTCGCGCCTCTCTTCCTTGACTATGCGGGTTTGAAACAGCCGAGCTATATGCAAGGGGTCTCATTCCGCTGCCTCCTTCAGGGAAAGAAGCCCGACACCTGGCAGAAGGTTGCCTACCACCGGTACTGGATGCACCGGGACATCATCCACGAAGCGTACGCCCACTACGGCGTCCGAGACCAGAGATACAAGCTGATCTACTGGTATAACGAGGACTTTGGCATCGAGGGGACACGGCAGGGTGGACAGGACAAGGAGTGGGAGTTGTTCGACTGCCAAGAGGATCCGTTGGAGCTGTTCAACTGCTACCATGATCCACGGTACAAGCCGATAGTAGAAAAAATGACGAAGCTGCTGGAAGAGAAGATGGCTGAGATTGGCGACGTGCCTGTTCATGAACGTATTGTTTAGACAGGAGTCATTATGCTATTCGTAAGTGAAAGATTGTATTAGATAGAGATAGAAATCATTCCAATTAGACTTATCCAGTTCTTAGATGGTGCCTAGCTACATCATGCATTGCTCTGTTTGTGTAACCTGTATGATTGATAGTCGGGTAGCTTCATACGTAATGGATGACAAGGAACTCTACAGAGAGGCGACGAGAAAGGAATTTTCTGACGAGGGGCTCGCGGAATGAAAGCAGGAACGACGCAGAGGTGGCGATTATTATCAACTAATAATTTCCAAGTAAAACAAGAATTGCCTGTTGAAAAAAAAAAGCAAATCACTTAAGTGATCCCAGACAGACGGGGTGTGGTGTACCGGAGACTCGACTCGTCTCGATTTTCCCCATGGACAAAGAACTGATCAAACCACGTGCGCACTGCGGGGGACACCATGTTAGGTGTGTGGAGACTACCTAACTTAATTCCCGCCAAACATAATGAATACCGGTAATGCATGTAAATTCTAACATATCATACACATACTGTGCATTGCGAATGATGAGTCCGTGGTAAGCCCATTGATTATTAACGCAGAAGAATATAATAATTCCATTGGATCTGGGAACCAGATCTACTGTATAGCTGTCTTTTTTTTTTTAATTTTGGCGTCTTTTGATTTCCTTCTTTTCTGCCAGGATTCGTTACCTGTTGAACAAAATAGTCATCTATCTATCGTTCGATCGGTCAGTCCCTCTCTCGTGCTTTCAAAAAGAAAGATGGGGAAAGCTCTGGGCACTTTTAGAGCTGTCTATCTCGTCGTCCTGCTGCGTGGGCTCGTTCCTCTTCGCGTACGACACCGGTATCGTCGGCGCGATCCTCACTCTGCCAGAATTCCTTCCAGGAAGACTTTGGATATGGGCCGGGTAGCAGAGAAGACGACAGTGAATTCCAATGCGACTAGTCTTTTGCATTGCTGGCTGGAGGTATGTATGTCTGTCTGTCTCAATTTTCACTTTTGTTTTCAAAGAATATGTGTCTGTCGGATGTATCTAACTGCATAACTGACTGACTGGTAACTGCTGGCCTTCAAACGTGATGGTTTCTGCGTGGGAAAAAAAAAGAAAAAGGAAAAAGAAAAAGAAAAGAAAAAGAAAGAAAACAAAAGAAAAGATTGATTATTAGTCCCTCAGACATTCAGACATCGATCATCGATAATACTAAGGAGATAGTAATATCCAGCTAATGCGAGTTCCTAGAAAAACCTAATAATAGCTAATTATGCAATTAGGTATGTATGTATGTACATACCTCAGGGTCTCTTCACTTCAATATCAGTCCACATTGTATGTACAGAGGACATTAATTTCATTTCATGAAAAGATGATGACAATGATACCACTGCAGGCATTCATTCATTTCCATTTTGTTTTATAGCGATCAGTGAGAGCAGAAGATACCAATTCAACTGCAACGAGGAGCATTAAAAGCCAAAATGCAGTCTCATCTACATGAATGGGGGGCTTATTAAGTGGTGCTGTACACACACAGCCTCGAAATATCAAATACGGGGCAACTCTGTAGGGCGTCGATCTTAATTGCTAACCTATTAATATATTAATATATTCGACTTCAGCCACAGAGGACTCTGGCTCACTTGTACCAACCCTGTTCCTGACAGTGAGTCAGATGACAAGCGAGTTTTGCGGGGTAATAATAGTGCGCATCAACTTTTTTTTTCCTTTTCCGGCACATTTACTTTTCTTAGCAGTACAGAGCTGCTTAGATAACTTGTACTAATGCTAACGTAATCCACCCCCGAGCCGGACACCACCTCCGAACGCGTCTCCTATATAGAAATTGAAGCTGAATTCTCTACCCAACATGGCAATTATATACAAAAATTAAGTTGTAGTACGTTCAGGACATCTAACTCTAGTATGGCCCACAATACCACAGTTACTGCACTTCTGTGGCGCACGTTGGCGTGGTTGAGAGGCCGGTAATTGAGACTGCGGAGGATCATTGACTGGAGGTTCGACAACTTGATCTCTTGACCTCATGAGATCCTGCGCTTCTTCTCTAGTAATTCCTCCTTCATGGTGTATCTTCTTCTTGGATCTTTGACGCTTTTGCTTCTCCTTCTCATGCGCAGCGAATAAATCCTGGTATTGCTTCTTCATTATCGCCGCTTGGATCATTATAGATTCGCAAGCCTTTGTGATTTGATCAAATGCCTGAT